TTTTCAAGTTATTTTAGTGTTTTCTGCCAATTCTGATGTACTAGCTCTATGTTTTACTGGGATTTTGTTGCTAGAGACCTATAAAAATATAACAGATGTCTTAAACACCTTTTTGTATTTTGGTATTTTATCCTGTGCTATGGTCGATTGACAATTGAAGTAATTAATACCATAAGTCTTCAATCAGAATCAAATCTAGAACCTTTGAATTTCTACCTAAAGCTCTGCCTTTATTACCAGCAGATAATTTTTCAATAAGCTAACAACATAGGAAGTAAAAGGGAAGGTACCAGAAAAACACGTATGTATGTGTGTGTATATATATATCACAGTTTACCTATCAACATATGACAGTATATAAGGACCATGCATATCAGCTTTAGTAAAAAATGATGAGTTGTGTATTCAATTTGATGAAGATGTAAATAACATTCTGAAGGCAGGGGTCATTGGGAAAATAGATATGATGGTGAAGAACCTGTCCACATGCATCTACAACATTGGGTTGGAGAGGTTTGGAAAGAAAGAGAAAAAGGAAACAAGCAGAGGAAAGGTTGAATGAAATAGGAAGAAGCAGGAAATAGCCAACATCAGGAGAGGGCTGAGGCAAGTAAGGAAACAATATAGGAAATCAACCACAGAGCAAAAACAGCCATCAGTGAGTTAGGGAATGTCTGGGGGATAAACCGAAAAAATTTAAAAGAGCAGAAAGCAGGCAATGGAACTGGAAGGAAAGGAGAAGAAAGCAGGCAGGTTTTGTTTCATACCAGTTCCATTTCAAGAAGCTTTTTAGTAGCAACAGTTCAGGATAGTGTTTGATTGCTCAAAAGAAGAATATCTGAAGAAGACACACAGTGATCCAAGGAGAGAGGAAGAGAATGCGAGAATTCGGGATCTGGAATCCTATTGTGGCTTTTGATGAAAGTGAACCAAAACACCTTGAGGTCCAGGGCGTAATCAAGAAGGCAAGGACAAAGTCAGCACCAGGACCCAATGGCGTGCCATGTTTACAAAAACTTTCTAATATTACCAAGGAAGTTGTTGAAGCTAATGAGGGCGGTTTGGAAGAGATTGAAATTGGCAGACAGCTGTACCAAGGGATGCTTCATACCAAAGAAAAAGAACTCTAAGAACACCAGCTAATTCAGGGCCATATCTGTGTTAAACATGGAAGGGAAGGTCATGCTTGATATTGATCAAGGTGAATGACAAAGGAGAAAACAAGTATCTCATAATATATAGAATGGGGGATTCCTACAGTATCTGGTTGTTTGGAACCTACCAGAGTTAAAGGAGAAGAAAGATGATGTTGCAGTGCACTGGATGGACCTAGCCAATGCATCGGTTCCATAGCATACACACTGGTAGAGCTGACCATGGAGAAGTATAATGTACTAGAGAAGTTCAGAAGGCTGTTAAAGCACTATTTTGACAGTTTTCTGATGTACTTGGTTGGTGTTTATACGACAGGTTGGAAGAGATTTGAAGCTGTGATAGTCACTATATCTGATAATTTTCAAAGCAGCAATGAACCTGAAGGTGAAAGCTGTAGAGAAGATGAACAGAAGTCCTTACATAACAGCTTGCATTGGACAACCACCAGCCGCAGATTTTATGAAAGACATGGAGGGAGACGGGCCCTTTGTGATGTAGATGGTCACAAAGCCATGCATGTCCAGCCAAGTTCCAGAGTCTCCTTAAGGTGGGCAAGATGAAAGATTAGAGATTACAACAGAGTGGACATACCAACATCCACTGAGAAGCCAGTAAAACTCCTTGAGTATGTCTCTATATTTCATAACATTAGAAACATTAGTCATTTTCTGCCTGATTTATCTGCCTTGAATCCATCTCTTAATTTCATCATATTAAAACAATACCTGGATCTAGTAAACAAAGTACATTATATGATTTATCTTTTTCTGCCAGATTTATCTGTCTTGAATATGTTTCAATACTTCATGATATTAAAATTATTATCTGGATCTATTAAATCCAGTCCATTAATCACTCTTAAAGATCTTAGTAAATTATTTAACCAGATGTAATATGCCTGGCATGGTGTATCAATAGTTTTATCATAAAACACAAAGATTGTACTCCACAATAAGACCATGCCTGGTAATGATCTGTAATCATTGCTGTTCAATCAATTTACCAACAAATACTTAACCTATTGTCCTCCAGTAAGCGTGACGTTCTGAGCTTACTGCAAAATAAATACAATATCATCCTCGATACTCCAGGGATTACGATCACTTTCGCTCTCTGAACCGCTGCCACATGTCATGGCAAAATTGAAAGCACAACCAAAGTAATTTGAATGGTTCCCGGAGAAAAAAACTAACCAATCATAGACTACTACCCTCGTTTCGAAGATAACAAGGAGCGACACCTAACTTCAAAGCCATTGCAATACACCATTATATGGCCTTGAGATTCGTTTGATGTACATCAAAGGATCAAACTAGTCTTTCTGTCTTGTCCACAAGGTGTCACACATGGAACCTTTGATTTTGCCATGACATGTTCCAGGGGTGCAGAAAGCAAAAGTGACAACTGAAGTTTCTTTCCTTTTGACAAGAACAACAAATGATTTAAACTTCCCTAAAATTTCTATGTCGCTTACATGATTGATACTAAAATTTGAACTTCTATGTGGCATGAAATGATGATAACAGATTTTCTTTTTTCTTGCCTTGAATACAAGACAGTAATTTCAGTTAAAATGGTGACATGAAAATTAAAATGAGTAACTCGCAGCACATATTGAACAAAAACATTCTCAGAATTTGCAAAAAATCTTTTATTTTCTAAACAAAATATCAAGTGTTCTGATTGGTCCAAGTATGTGTACACACAGAGGTAAGATTTCGAGGGTGAACAAGGGAGGTAAATATCACTACAAAATAACAACACACCAATAAATTACGTTTTTTTTCACGAAGCACATGTACCTAAGTACATACATTTTGTGTATGATCCCAACACAATGACCTGTTGCATTTAACTTCACGTTTCAAATACAGATTCTTAGCAGGTTAGCCACCAGCTTCTTATTTTACCTGTAGTACGTAACTTGAATTGGTCATAATTCTTCGAGAGTGATTAGCCTACAACAGTTCAATGTGGTCTGACTATATCTTACTGAAATTTCTTAACATATACTGTTTCGTCAATATTAAAATGTAAAACTTCTTATTAATGCCATAAGTATTTTGATGAGATGACAAATATAATCCATTCATAAATTATTTGAATTAAGATAATCTGATTACGGATAAAAAATTTTTGTAACTTATCATTAATTTCACATGTTTGAATTCTTCTGTAACATACTAATATCCAAGAATGTATTCAAGATGTTCAATACCTTTACTTCCTTGGTCAATTCAGAAGAGTCCACCAATTATATATGAATCAGTTTACTACACAGGAAAAGGTAACATATCGGTAAACATGAACTGTTGCCAGGATGGCTGACTAATACACACATCCCCCTTCCCAAATCAACAAAAATTTTAGAGGGGTTGTCCACACAAGATTCTCCATGAGGTCTTCATTTGGTGACCATGGCAACCAAATGGTAACACTTTTTTTTCAAAAATGGTATCATTGTATTTGTCATCCCCCTACAACTTTTTATACCAATTTCCAACTTAATCAGATGATATCTTAATATCGACCAATCAGATGCTTCCAAAGTGTTTCCATAGTAATGGTTTGGGAATTGTAATATGTCGAATCATAAGCTATATCTGATCAAGTTTAAATTAAATGTGATAGGACACAACTATATATAAATATATCTTAGGGATGTAGCATGCCAAGTTTGAGAAATATTGCTTCAGTAATTTCATTTACCGTAGGGATGTAGTATGCCTAGTTTGAGAAATATTGCTTCAGCACTTTTTAATATGCACTTGACAAAATATTCAAGACAGGCAGACAGTCTGACGATCAGACAGGGTGATTCCAATAGCCCTTCTTGAACTTTGCTGCATGAAATGGTGGGTGGATGGGTGGGTGGGTATAACAAGAAGCACATAGTTAAGTGTGCTGAAATTCATCTATCTCTCTATCTATCTCTCCTATAAGGCCCTCCCCTTTCCCCCCCCCCAAGAGTATTCGATACACTTTTTTTATACAAAAATAAGTTTTCTTCACCCAAGGATGTTTCAGATCAAATTTTGACAAAAATGAGATATTTCAAAAGAAGAATTTTACCACTTCCTGGTCCCTCCATGGCCATTCAAGGGTGCTGAGACCCACTATTCATACAAAATTGATTTCCTTTTACCAAAGAATGCTTCAGACAAAATTTGGGTAAAATATTAATCAAATCATTCCTTAAGGAGAAGTAGTGTCTTAAAACAATTCTCCAATTGGGTCCTGCCCCAGGGATCTGAAACCCCTCTTTCATACAAAATTAATTCCCTTTTACCCAAGAAAGTGTCGGACCAAATTTGGACAATTTGAATCAATTGTTAATTCAAAATTTTCCAAGTTTGGTCCCATCCCTCAGGCCCATGAAGGCTGCAATCCACAATTTATACAAAATTTGTTCCACTTTCCCCGAGGATACTTCGGACTAGATTTGGTCAAAATCCACTGAGTCATCTATGACAAGTAGCAATTCTCAGGAAAAAAGTTGATGGTCTCTGCTGTATGAGCATAAGCTGACCTGTCCTTTAGACCAGGTAAACCAAGAACCATATGTAGCAGAAAAAAGAACCATTACATTATCTATATTTGCTGTTAATCCAAATGACATGTAAAGATAGATTTATTTAAAAAGAAGTACATAAATCTGGTTATATAACTGAAATGATATGTATGGTAAAATGCATTATTATTTGCTACCTGGATCATATTAGCACAATTGCTCTAATTATCAAGTGTTTTAATTATTTTTGAATTTTTTTATCAGCCAGTAAAAGCATTTAATGAATACCTAATCAGAATTATTATTTCTAACATTTAATATGTGTACCAGGTAAGACAAAATCCATAAACATTTTGGCAAGTAAATAAATATGAATCAGTACAAAAAACAGTTGAACTGACAAAAAAATATTTACTACAAAACCATTGGACAGGTAAATAAATATAACTTACAACCTTTGAACAGTTAAATAAATAAAATTATATAGATGAGCATATCAATAAATACTAATTACTAAACCAGTCAGGTAAATAAATAGACAAACCGCAGGAGTAAAAAGAGGACATCTTCATTAACCTCCACAACCACTTTACTGATAACTGCATCTTCTTCATACTTCTTCAAGAATCAACAGTAGTGAATGTTATCGGCATTATTAGCAGCAGTTTATAGGTTTCAGTCATGCCTCATTATTTCGGGCCGGCTTTATACTTCTGAAACATTTTCTGCTAATTTTGTATTTTATAAGACAAATAGCAAAATCAGCAATACAGATTTTGCAGGTCTCCAGATTATGTTGTCGTTCTCTACCTCTGATACAGATTTTCTCAATAACGACAAGATTTTTGTGTGTGTTTGGCATTGATCTTCAGGAAAAAAGTTCTGAAACCTGTTAACTGATAGGGTGCTCCTGATCCTGATATTAAACAGGTCCATTAATGAAAATATAGAAAAGTTCTTTGAAGGAGACAAGTCAAGTGTAGAAAAATTACACAGAATCTCCATAATTTCCATAGAGATTCCACTGAGTTCATGGAGATTTTAGAACTGGGCACGTTTCTGATACTTGAATTGACCCACTGGCACTTATGATATGATCATTATAAACAGATTTTACCAGTAACTACAAACTTTGTATGTCCAATGGAGCTCAAAACAAACACTTTTTGTATATATATTATTACAGTATATTGTATGCACATAAGCAAATGTACTACATGGGGGAGCTAAACCAGAGATGTATATCATACCTTCCCTTGTAACAAAACAGATGACTACAGATAACGATTAAATAAATACAAATAGTATTTTACAAGAGAAGAAATGTGTAAGCTATATTGCTGTAAGCAAAAGTTAACAAGAAAATCATATTAAAGGGAATACCATGTTTCTAAACAAGCAGTAATTCATTTTCATTCTTCATCATCAATAATTCGCTAAACTGAACTAGAAAACACATTAGTGTTATGTCTTTTCAACAAAATGTAAATTTTCAATTTGCTGAGAGACTTTGTCAATTTCTTGTCTATCAGCTGCATGAGGAGCATGGGACTCCTCAAAAATGTCTGCTAACCTTGCCCTAGCAGATTCAAGGTTATTCAGTGACCTTGACCTAGTTAATGGACCACCACTCAAAGCTTTAACAGGTGAGGAATCATTGGATTTGGAATGTTCCTGACAATGTATTTCAGCTTCTGGTAGCGAATTATGAAGTCTCCAAGGAACTTCATATGGTTTAAGGTATCTCTTGTATCTGCCTTTCCTCAACATAGATCGTTTGGGTACCATCTGTTTAGGTGTGACCTCAGATTGTTGACAAGTACCTGAAGGACAAAAACAATCCCTCGATCGAGGATCTAATATTGGACTTGTTTCAGATGTAGATGGAATCTTTGGAGGATTCACGGATAAATCAAAGTCTGATTTTGGCACATTCATTACCACCGGGAAATCAGCAGAAAATCCAGTCACATAGTTGGGATCAACTTGAAGAATGTGAAACCCCTTTCCATGGAAGCTAGGGGATGGTTCAGTAAATGGGACAGGTTCATTAAAGGGTCTTGGCACTGGTTCATTGAAAGACAGTGAAGCTGCTGACTCACTTGTTGATCTCTTTCTCTCTTTCCTGAATTCCTTGCGGCTATTTGTGACAGAACTAAGCATGCCAAGTTCATTTAGGGCCGAATCTAAATCCATACCCCTCTCAGGAGGCTTCACACAAAAGTAGCACCCGCTTCGACAGGTCATCCTGAAATGTTAATCAATTTTAATGTTATAAGTATAACAAAGCAATAAACATCTTCATCCATTGTACACAACTTCACAATCATCTAATTCAATAGCTCAGACTTGTTACATTGTAACCTATAACAACATGCATTCAATTTAATATATCTTACAGTTAATACAATATGTTTACTTGTACATAAAAATACAATTATAGGTGCTGTATGTGCATTGATAAATGGATAAGACATGTCTATATCAGTGTTTCCCAAAGTAGTTCAGTATAGGATAATTGTAAAGAAAAAAGAAAATAAGACAATAACAGAACAATTTCATATGTTATCACTCACTCACTGTCCCACAAAACAACTGGTGTTTCAATATTTACACATAGACTTAATATAATATATGAAGCTGACAGGTCAATAGGTCATCAAAGGGAGATTATCACACTGCATATTTAAATCTATGTAAATCTGAAAGAAAAGAATTTACTATTTGCTAAGGACAGGCATGCAGCATATAAAGACAATACAGAGGCGTGATATACAGTATACATGACAGGTAAGCAAGCTTTCTTTATTTCAGCAGTTGTGCATTTATTTGATAATGTTTCACACACAAGATATACTAATTTATAAATGTCATTTTGAAACTTCAAATGTTTTTTAATTTAACAGACAATGGCTCCATTTGTATCTGTGTTGTATCATAAATTTGAATTGATGTCAAGAGAATCTTATATCACATCCAATGACTGTATACTGTAAATGTTGAAAGTTACTATGATCACATACAAAAATTTATGACATTCTTGGATTAGAACAGCAAAATGAATTACCCAAATTTCATCAAAATCTACCTAAGTCTCTCCAAATCCTTTCCATACTCACCAAGATCAATCATACCAAAATATTTTCACTTGCGGTCATGACCAGCTTGGAACATTATCATTTTAATTTGCAGTGGTCACCCTTCCATCTATCCAAATTCATAAATTCAAAATTAATTCGTAAACACAGCCACACCACTATCCGTTGAATTGTACCATATATTTACGTACTTGATAACTGAATTTACTTACCATTGTTGTTTTCTTCCAAAAATTTAAGTTTTTAGTTACAAGTTAAACTCAATGCAGGCTTGGTAATAAATTGGTATCCAAGTGTTGGAAGGGAGACAATCATAAAGAGAATGTCAATGATTACTGAATTGTATCTTAAATAATAACCAATGAAATATAGTTTTAGAATGTATTAGGTGTCAAGTTTGGACAACATATCTAAGATAGGGGTTAAATTTTGGTAGATATTGGTAACATTTAGGTAAGGTTTGTGTAGATTTGGGTAAACTAATTGCTGTGCCCGATCACAGAGGATGTACTGGAATTACAATGCATTATCTCAAAATCCAGGGATAAAATCCTGTCCCTGCTAACATATTATGTACATTACTGGTAAAAGTCATACAATTAATCATGCGTCTTTTAAAATAATTCTATCCCTCAGAAGCCATTCTTGTTCGTTTAGCTATAAACATGTGGGGCACTATCCACCATTATGGTAACAGTTCTCCATTTGAGAAATTGTTACTGCTTAATACCTTTTGTGATCACTCCTTGGGACTCATATATATCGGAAGTTTGACAATGTCATTCGTCGGAAAAGAAATTGGTTGCAATTGATTTCTCAAATTCATGATCATTTTACGGTTCTTTTAAACATTTGCAACAAAAAGGGCGTTATCATTTAACATGGCTCAACAGCTATGAATATATCCTTAACATATTATTCAGCCTGTCTTCGCTTGGTGTTGGGGATCAGCTGGTATTGAGACGATGGGGTTGGGGACGAGGTCGACGTAGGTTTAATTTTGACGAGAGAATGTCAACATTCAATGACATCACGAACACTTCATTCTGCCATGAACACATTATCTTTAACTCAGTATATCAATCTTATTTAGAAACACGAAATTCCTTTTACCTGTAATTGTCACTTTAGCAGCCTTCTAAACAACAGGAGCTAAATCAAAGCAACATTTTCAAGAATATTACTATGTTAGCAGGCGCCAAAGTTTCGCTGTTTATTTTTCTCCCGTTAGGATATTCATAGGATCAAATGAATGTTTGAATGTTCAGCTCTCATCCATGGTATAAACAAACGCTGCAGTGACTATGAGCAAAATATTTTCGAGTTACCTCAGAATTTTACTATAAGAGCATCTCTATTGCATTTCAATGGCGCGATGGAAGAACAACTTTGAACATGACTTAAGAGAACTTATCCATAATTTAACAGGATTTAGGGTAAAGTTTGTTTTATTTTGCTTCGTGATGTGTAATATATACAATTATCAACAACAATGTCAAGTTTAAGATATTCATGACCGAAAAGTAACTACTTGTTCACATTCCAGATACAAAGTGATCGAGCTAACTAAAACGAAAAATCCATAGTTAGGACAGGAAAATGTGGTCCTAGTTTTGCTTTGTATGATGCTTATATGAAACTACGGACTTAGTTAACGAAGTCTGTGGTAAAACATAAGCATTTTGAGAACAATCTTTGGAATTGTGTCGTTTTATATAGTTGACAGCAACACTCAAATGCTGCATTGCATTTCTAAATTGAATGTTTGTTCTATTTTAATCTGTTTATCAGATGAACACGTTAAATATCTCTAAATATAAAAAGACTATAAAAAAAACACCTAGATTAGACTCATATTAACCATGGAATCAAATGTAAGAACTAACATATACATTATACAATGTGTGCAGAGACTTAAAAGAGAAGTAAATATTGATTCCTTATGACTGTACAATATGTATGGTAGAAGGGCTCTGTCTGTAGGGCCATATTGACCCCATTCCAAAATGAATTTATTTCCTAATACGGCCAAATTTCCCAAATATATAGTTAATTCCTTTATCAACAATGGGAGAACATTAAAAAAAACTATTTATGACTGACCTAGAATGTGCGAAAAGGTACTTTGTTTCAAAATGTGCATGTTCTATATACTTAAAATGGCATAATTTACTGAAAACTTTACTTGTCAGAGATTTATTGGCACAAACTAGGCTTGACTTAAAACAAAAATTAAAAAACTGGGCAGATAATATATATGTTAATTCTTACATTTGATTCCATGGTTAATGTGAGCACAATTAAAACCAGAAAACAAAGAATTCAACAATTTTTTTTTATAAACGTAAATAAACTTCGAATTTTTATCTTCTTTTATATTTTTGTTTCAGGAGAAAGAAGAAAATTTCAATCTGTGTCTCCAGTTTGCCACATCCAATGTGAAGTACCATAGATTTCTAGATGTTGACAGTCACAAAGTCACTGATGTTTTAAATGGGTTTGTATATATGTATTTGAAAAACTTTCCTGGTTATTTGTGGACCAACAGAATTTACATCTGCTTTGAATTATAGACTTTCAACAGGCAAGCTTCAGGAATCAAAATCAGAGTGCTTATCTGGTGTATTGGAACATTCCAAAATACTTTGAATGTTTTTTCATTGACAATCACGTTTCAGTGAAATGGAACTATAATACATATCTTAATATATACGGATATAAGCCCATGTCATGTAATAAAATCACCCATATCTGTTGGAGATAAGCTGACCATCAAATGCTATTTCATTATCCTGTTATAACCCACTACCGGACTTTGACACAGAGATCAGGTATTTGCCCCTGAGGTTTATTGTAAGATAAATACAGTAAGAAGACCCTTTAAAATAAGATGCCATGGATCTATATATGACCTAAATATTTGCTTGATGTTGCAATAATTCAGGCCAGCATCCATAGTGGTGATGGAAAATCAGTAAAAATCCTGTATAGATTATCGGTTTAAATAAAACCTTGATACATTACACTTTACTAATTCGTCTGTGATGTGTATACTGTTTTAAAGTATTATTTAAATAATTTTCGTATTTTTGAGATAGGACCATTAACTTCCCTCATGTGGACAGATGCTAAATACAAAGAACTAGTTTACTCTTTGATATACATCAAAAGAATCTCAGGGTTGCATACTTTGTAATAGCTCTGAAGTTGGGTGTTGCTTTTTTGTAATCTTCAAAAGAAGGTTATCAGCCTGTGATTGGTCAGTTTTTTTCTCCTTGAACTAATCGAATTAATTTGCTTGTGCCTTCAATTTTGACAATGTTCCAGGGGTGCAGAGAGCGAAAGTGATAGTAACCCCAGGAATATCGAGGATGACCTAAAGTGTGAGGAGAGACCAAAAAAAAGGCTATTAAGAAAAGGAAAAAAATAAATATATAAAGTTTAGTTGCCTCTTATGGTTATTTAATGGAAGCTAAATGTGTTCATGCATGAAACATTGAATTGTCCAAACAGTTGTTTTAAACAAGATGTGCTCTTATGATCTGATTATCTATTTCCAGCACAATCAACAAATTTTTGATTCATTCCCAACAACAGAAGGCAGATGCCTTACAGAAATTAAGTGACGAGTTCTTAGAGGCTCCTGTCTATGAGGGTCGTGATACAGGAAAGGTACTTACATTTGAATTCATCACTAATTGCTAGAAAAAGGTAAAACTTAAAAAAGGTTTGTCTGTGATAGAAATGTTTTCTCTCAATTTTTTTTCTTTGGTTTTGGTTTAATTTCTACTAAGCTTTTCATTTTATAAAGTATGTAGACATTTCTTTTTGGTCCTCAAGAATAACAAATCAATATTATTTCAACATGTGGTTGTATTATCAGTGCCCAGCAAGGAAAATTGAAGTGCCCTATAATAATCAGGTTGTCAATCTTTCTGTCAGAGTTTTTTGTTGTTGTTGTTGTTGCTGAAAATCTCAAACTTTGTCTTCAGTTGTGTTAGGATGATAACACTGAAGCGTTCGCTATTGCCTCTTCACACAAAGTACTAGCTCTCAATTCCTTTTCGTGTTCAGAGGTCGAATGTCAAGGTCACCATTACAATCAACGGAAACGGTATTCACAGCAAAAGTATATTATATCTTAATGTTAATGGTAAATATTTACTGATGTCACAATGAAGCGTTATTGACTGAAGTGAAAAGAGTTGTTGACCAACAATAGGTCAAGCCATCAGGTGAAAGATCCTGGTTAAATTTGAAAATTTTCATAGACAGATACTTAAGGTCAAGGTTGAGGTCAAATTTGAACTGTTTTACTGGTGAATGTTTTGTAATGACATCATGAAGCACGATGTGTTGAAATCAAATGAGAATTTGCCCAACTCATGGCCAGGTCACCAGGTCTAAGGTGAAGGTTAAATTAGAAAATATAATGATATTTCACAGACATATTATTTTGTTTATAAAGTAGTAAAGATATATTCTATATTAATGTAACATTCAGATTAAGAGTCTGACACAATGCTAGACCCATCCTGTCATGTATCAGTACTCTAGTTTTCAGATTGTTGAAGCTGTAAATGGTGTACCAGTTAAAACAGTCAATATTAATGTCTCTTTGACTTTTTCATTCCTAGGCGATATTTTCTGAGTTAAATAAACTTTGTTTTCAGACTGATACCCATTACGCACTTCTATCCCTGTTATTGCACCTGTCGAACTCTCCAACCCTCACAGAATATGTGGAACAACCAAGAGTCCCGAAGGAAGAAGGTATAGTGTACATAAAATATCTCCAACATACCAGACAAAATCTAACCACACCCCAGAAATCCAAAATCCACAATCCCAGAAACCCTTAACCCACTGTCCAAGGAATTCCGAATCCACTCTCCCAGAAACCATTAATTTACCCTACTTTATACTTATAATCCATCATTACAGACATCCAAAACCACAATCCCAGAAGTCTGAAATCCATCATGCCCGAAACCCTAAATCCACCATTCAAGAAACCAAAACCCACCATTGCCAAAACCCTGAACCCACCCTTCCAGAAACCCTTAATCCACCATTGCAGAACCCAAAATCTACCATTCCCAAAACCCTGAACCCACCCTTCCAGAAACCCTTAATCCACCATTGCAGAAACCTCATATCAACCTATCATTGTATGGGCTTTAAGATATGGCTCTTAAAGAAGAATGTTAATTGTTAAATAGGACAGTATAATGCTAAGTCAATAATACACAAACCTAAATGAAAAAGAGTGGTTTGCCACAGGTATTCCAGTTTGCTCCCTCAATAAGATCCCTTGTGTGCTTTGCTAGGGTCAAAAATTTATGAAGTAGCAATAAGCTATTTTGCAAATGACTTGAATGGCATATTATTTTTAATTTTCTTGTTTGACAGCACCAAAAGACACGTTCGATTGGGCAGCCTACCTATTGGAGGGCGAACGAGAGCAGTCCCAGCAATACCTATCAGATATAGAGGTAAGATACAATACTAGATCAAGAGGCCACAAGGAATATATAATGTTTCTGATTTATAAAGCACTGTATTCAGGAAACATTCTTCCAGGGCCATTTGAGCCCTCCCATAAAAATATTTGTCTTTGCCCAGAAGTAGATTTGCTCTAAAAGCACAATCACCTGATACATGATTTTTAGGTCATCTGACCCAAAAAGTCATGATGACCTATAGTCATTGTGCACCGTCTGCCATGCGGAAACTTTTGACATTTGAAACTTTTTTGGGTATGTCTGAAATCCAAGATGGCTGTCATAGCCGCCACCTTGAAAAATATATTTTAAACTTCTCCAGTTCTACTGGTGCCATTGAGCTAAAAATTGGTGGGAATGTTAAGAAAAGATAGCCAACAATGTGTTATTTTTTTACCTTGTCAAACTTGGATACAGCAGCCAGGTCATTTTGTAACATGATAGCGCAATCATGGTTTTCCTATTTCAAACTTCTTCTAAAGTTTCACTAGTGGGATTGAGCTCCAACTTGTCTGAAATGATCCCGAGATGGTCCTTACCACGTGTTATTATTTTTGGGATATCACTCCTGTTAGATTGATCGTATCCCTAGGTAGTGGGGATTCAAAATTGTTCAGATAATGGGGTTGACCCCCTCAAGGCGCTGAGGGATTGGACAATAGGGGGAAATTTGAAAATGTTGCTATTAGCAACTTTCCCAGATTTAAGCAATAAATATCACTCATACCCAACTGGTAGCTTCCTACGTACGGGAGATTCAGAAATGTACAGACGATGGGTCTGTACAGAATGGTGTCTGCCATTCTCATTTACAGAATGGATTTGCTAACTACATTCATAGGACAATAATATTTGGTAATAATGCCATCTGATGTGTTTCTTTATCACCAACAAAGCATAAACTGAGAAATAGAGCCAATATGAGTACCAAGATGATTTGGTTGTTCTGTACTTGAGCTTTAACAACCCAGGTATGCAGGGTGATCAACAAAATATTTAGATATAGATAGGGAGGTTCAATTGCTATAACCTCATGATCAAGTGTAACCAGTTTGTGCCCCTGAAGTACCTTTTTCAGGTTCAGTTTTTACTATGATGTATTCTACAAGGTAAGGTTGTACAATAGGTATGGACAGATAAGTCCTTATCTATAAATAGAAAAGTAAACAAATAAAGATAAGTATTCCATGACTTTGAGTCAGAGGCTCGTGTTGGTGACTAAATGTGAATTTTTTATTATTATTAACATTCTAGTCTGAAGATGACTGGATTGATGAAGATGAGGAGGACAAGGAGAATTCTCCAAGGGGAGATGATCAGGATACGTCTGATGGTTCTGCCCCACCTCCATTTCCTGAAGTTAGTTTATCAACCATACAACCTGATGAAAGTACATTGGTTGCTGTAGACAGCTTACCTACTGTAGAGACAGGATTTGATTGGCTGACGAGGAACATCATGGTTCAGTATTGGTGCGGACAGAGTGCCGATGATACAGACCGTCAATTTTCTAATCTGAATCGTGATTGGTTAGTTTCTGAAACAAGTCTTTGGAATTTGAATTTCAAAATATTTGTATTTTATGATTCTAAAATGTATTATTTTCACCCTGTCTACCCATCTTTGGGCAGGTTTGTGTTCCTGTAATTCATTACTTTCACAAAGTATAAATACAAGCTTAGAATAAGCATGTATGTTACTAGTAATAGGAAACTTTTAAAGATTTTATTTGTTATACTGTTTGTAAATTTTTATCATCAACAGACATCTATGAATTTTTTAATTTTTTAATTTGCTGGGAATATAGACATACAATTGCAAATTTTTCTTGAATTTTTGTTACAGAATACGCAATATGTTGATTTCATTCATGAAAATTTCAATCATTAAAGAAACAAAAAAAGAATGCAATATGTCGATTTCTTTAATAACAATTTCAATCATTAAAGATTAAAAAAAAAAATGAATGCAATATGTTGATTTTCTTTAATAACAATTTCAATCATTAAAGATTAAAAAAAAAATGAATGCAATATGTTGATTTTCTTTAATAACAATTTCAATCATTCAAGATATAAAAAATGAATGCTTAATGCTGTTTATATGTATGCAAGTTGAATTACAGGGATATTTAAATGTTTCTAATCATCAACCAATATCACTGATTTTGTCTAAAACCATACATATAAACAGATCTTATAATTTACCATAGGACATTTTTCATTTCTTTATGTTATGGTTAATACATGTAGTAATCTGCTTACTTTCTCTGTCTACAGGGAGTCTTACAAACAGAGGTCCCGTCCACTGTACACCAAAAGGGAACAGACTGTTATCACAGAAACAAATCTAATCAGGGAAATTCTGTGGTATCTACTTGAATACATATTAATATCTTTTAATTGGTGATTGACCAAATCTTTTTACTTACATTAAACTACAAGTTACTAAAACGTTCTTTACTTATGTCATATTTTCATGGTTGTCCGTTTGACGAGAGTTCTCTCAGTTATCACTATTTCTTGATATGTACAAGTTGGATTTCTCAAATTTCATATGTAGGGACCCCTCAGTCCAAAGCTGTTCTCGTTTGATTTTGAGACTGACCAGAAAAATAACAGCACTGACTGTCAGCCTTCTCGGATTTAGCAGTGAAAGATTATTATTGCTGTTTCTTAAGAGGAATTTTAAAATTCAATCAAGAGCCAAAACAGAGGAAAAGAATGCAAAAGATGCGAAAAAAATGCAACTTCTGAAAATGTGTAAAGAGCAAACAATGGTTTGTGACGAGATGCTTCTGGGATCTCTTGTAAAATTAGTTAACTTTACTTTCCTAACATCAAATTGTAAATTTCTAGAGCATGAAATTCAGTGTTGAAACTGTGAGATTGATGCCATGACAATCATGGCTATGTGAACACATGGTCTGATAGTCCCATAGCGTATATCTTGTTCTCTGTACGTATAAAAGTGGATAAAGAACAAATATGAGGTATGGTATTGGACTTTAGGGTAACTGGTTATTGTGTTGTAGTTACTTGTTTCTCTTTCAAAATTTTTTATCTGTTGTTGCATATGAACATGATATCTAAATCATTGAATTAGGAAAATGATCGACTGGCATTATTTTTGACTTACAGGATGCTTGGTGGAGTGACGGACCTTTTTATTTTTATCTACAATGGCCATCGGTTTCTGGTACGGGAGGATGTCGTTCTATCTCACCTGACAGATGTAAGTTTCTTTATTTACTTATGGTGGGTAGGAAGTCAACATATCTAGTTGATTTAGTAACAATGCTATACATGACACATATAAAGCACCAGTTCATTTGTATATTCCATGAAATGTGGGTTGCCGAGGGGGAGGAGGGGAGGGAGTCATTTTTTATTTTTTATAAGCTGATAAATAGAGTTACTGCATTAAGGAAAAATAACTTCTGATTTCTGGCTCGCTTAATACCTTTTCTTAGGTTAGTAAAACCATGAGTTGACTTTATCAATAGGCTATAATTGTGTCATTATACACTGTGTTCTTGTGAATGACAGAATTCCTTAGAGGCATTCCTGGAGGAATTCATAGAACATGCTGCATACATCCACAATCTGCTCAAGTTCCAACAAGAGGTTATCAACCAGAGCTGTTGCTACGGTGACAGCAGTGGGACGACAAGTGGGCGTGGCATCTGTCAGACCCTTCAAGCCTTCTCACAAGTTGTAGCTCACTGTATAAAGAGTTTGCGACAAGAACTTACCAAGATAGAGAAAATTATAATCAAACAAGGTGAGTGTTTTTCCCATTAACTTGGAACATAATATTGATAAATGTGTCTGAAGACTGTAGTATATACCTTCTTTATCCAGCAGCTGGCACTGCCATTGTCGGAATACACCTGACACATATTTTGGCTGTATTCAGCGATGGCAGAAAACAGCTGTATTTTATCACATGTGTTGATTTTGACAAAATTACTTTCTGAATTTACTTAAAAATTCCATTTAACTATATGTCGAAATAAGCTATTTTATATGTTGAAATGACCAAGTTTAATTACGAAAATTCATAAAATTGATGATTGGAATTATATTTCTGCGTGGAACAATTATTTTGATGTACATGTATACGTCATCAGGCAAAATTCAGTGTAATGTCAACATCAGATAAACAAAGATAGGGCAACACAATTGATGAAGTTTTGAGGGACAGAAAGACACTTTTGTCTTTCTTCACCCTTGCCAAAATACAGCTTATATTTTAAGACACTGACCACATATACTCCATATATCCAACAGCTAGTCCATGGTTACTGATAAGCACCCCGACGTCTAACCATAAAACTACTAGCTAATGGTGTTTATTTTCCTGATATGTAAAAAGCCCACTGCTGACTTTGAGTCAGAGATAATTTGTTCACCTGTGGATAAATGAGGAAATAAATTGCTATCTTTTAATTTGCTGTAGAGGAAACCTTCACCTTGGCCATGCTGCACACCAATCTGAAACCATGGTTACCAAAGGTGAAGGTCATTCATTCAGTTTATGAAAAAGGAGTGAAAGAAGCAGAATGGATGCCAGGAAACTATCAGAAAGCCTCCCATTTACTCAGCATTTTGTATGACACTGTGCTGGAGCATGATGCCATGGGGAACTTCACTTCTGAAATGGTGAGTTCCCTGCTCTCTGTAGTTATATGTGTATTATTGACGGGTTAAATGTTTGTTATACGACTACTATTTTATAGGGCGGAGGCAGTATATGTAGAGTTAATCTCATTCTCATTATCTCTATTTTTGGCATATAGCTGCCAGTCCTAAATCAAGCTCATGGCTATAGCATCTTAATGGATTATAATCAGCAAATCGGTCACCAACTGGGAAACATCACTGTAGTAACATCATTTTATACAGGATTTGTATGCAAAGGTCAATTATGACAGTACCACAGATGAATTCATGGTTCAGTGTTACATAATACAGGTTATGTGATATCACGAGATGATTAACAGGGTTTCATTTTGGGTAAAGATCCTGTTTTCTTTCTGTTTAAGATGAATATGTTACTACCCATGTGGATCCAGACCTGCAGACCATACCTAGACATCATAGATGCCTGGGTAACTAAGGGCAACCTGCCTGATCCAATGGAGGAGTTTATCGTCAAAAGGTCAGTCGTCACATTTATGGTGTCAGAGTTCAGTCTGTAGAACCTTATTAAGCATATTCTAGCACTTCGTGCTAATTCAGATAATGCCAGTTATAATTTTGTTATATTGTAGGTATTGAAGGTGCACTGATTCATCATTGTGCTAAATCTGCTCAAATTTCATGATATGCTGAAAAAAGTGTCTGTATTAGGTATATATGCCTAGTTTATCTTTATCTCATCAAACCGCTTCATTGTCCGGTAATAAGCCCACCCCTAGACTTTGAGTTGGATGTAATTTTTTTGCCATCTAAGGCTTAGTGCAGGGTAAATGTTGGTAATGATATGATACTTTCCTATAGGAATGAAAATGTCCGCTCCTTGGATGAAAGTTTTTGGGAGACAGCTTTCACCATCCATATCCCATCGGATCAAAGTCTGATGGAGGAGTCACGACAAGCAGGGTCAAGGTCACTGGATACCACTCAGGGCAAAGGTCAGATAGTTACTCTATTTTGTAAGAAGCATCAGTATTGGTATTGTCAACATTAATTTCCGGATCCAAAGGGCTTTCACTAACATGTCCTTAACAGACAGATTTGTGGACAGAATTTTTTATCAGTTGGTGTACAGTTTAATTTTGGCTCTCCCAGTTCTGTAAAAAGTAAAAGCTGTGAATTCTATATTTTGTTTTATCATTTGGAATACTGTCTACACAGTATTTTTTTATGCCCCGCAAATATTTTCATGGGAACAGATGGACGCCACTTTGTCCATCCCTCCATCCCCTTTTGTGTCCGGAGCATAACTACACTCACAGTAAAGCAAGGATCATGAAACTTGTTGTACACATTGGTTATACTAAGGGGATGTGCAGTTTACCAAATTCAGGGCCCTCGATCCTTCAATTACAGAATTACTGCCCTTTGTTAAAATTTTGTGTTTCAGGTATTACTTTGCTTGCATTGATACTAGAATAATGAAACTTGGTGTGTACATTGATTATACGAAGACAATGTGCATTGTACCATTGTTAGGACCCACAACCCCTTATTTACAGAGTTATTGTCCTTTGTTAAAAATCTCCTGTCCAAAGCTGTGCTCACAGTTAAGCAAGGATCATGAAAGTTAGTGTATACATTGATCATACTAAAACAATGTGCAGTACACCAAATTCAGGGCACTTGATCTCTCAATGACAGAGTTATTGCCCTTCGCTTAAATTTTGTGTCCAGAGCATTACTTTGCATGGATATTGAAACATGATGTCTACATCTGCCATACTAAAGAAGATGCAGTGGTGCAAAGTCCAGACCCATGAACTCTCAGTATAGACTTATTTCTGTTTGTTAAAATTTTGTCATGAGTATAGCTTGCATTAAAATTAGGATCATGAAACTTGGTGTATAGATTGGTCATGTTAAGAGAATGTGCACTATACCAAATTCAGAATTATGGCACTTTGTTAAAATTTTGTGTCCAATAAAGTTGCTTTCAAGTGAGCATTCATCAGTTTCAGTGGTATTCTTTTGTTTAAGAACTTAGCTTGAGTTTTTTTTTTTTTTTTTTTGGACAGGTATGATCTCACATTGGGCACCCAAGTTTCTACAACCTATCCTCCTTGAGATTGTGCTAGCTGGGAAGTCAATGGAAATGTTCCAAGGGCTTGGGCGCTTAAGGGATGTCGTTGGCAAACAAGATGATATTTGTGAGTATTCATAATAATACTTTTATTTTAGTGTTAAATGCTTAGCAAAGTATGATCTTAATTGGTTGTCCATTTCATATCTTTCAGAGTGAACATAAAATATGTTAAAATCCTGATGATTTGAATCCTTTATACATTTCTCTGAAACAATCGAGAGTGAGTGGGAGTGACTATTAAAGTGAAAGTCGTCAGAAGATGGTCCTTTAAAATTGGTTTGTATATTTGAACAAATCACTAAATCTACATACTCAGAATGCATGGCATTATTTCTTGAAAGAAAACTCATTTTGGAATAGATGATTTATGGTTATAGTTGAAATGTATTAATTTTTAGTAGAAATCTTCTTTTACACTTTTTGCTTTTAATTAAAATTGCTAAATTAGTGATTGATCATGTTACAGCTTCTATGCAGTGATTTTTCAGCAGATATCATGAATGTACCTGTTAATATTGATGTGCTGATCTGTTAGAGTGTAATGGATGGGGGAGTTTGAAATTTAGGCATTCTGAAATACGTTGTTTTGTTAATGATTATCAGTGTTGTATTTATCTTGCAATAAGTCCTATTTATATCCCCGGACTCCAGTTTTGTTAATGATTATCAGTGTTGTATTTATCTTGCAATAAGTCCTATTTATATCCCCTGACTCCAGCTCAAGCAATGGACTTATTTCAATATAGGTATATACTGTTTGTTCTTAATTCTACTGAAAAGTTGATTAACATCAGTGGGCTGATCACGATACCTGTGCTTATTATTAATATGGAAAAATCTCATCATAAGATGTGTAATATAATCTTGAATTACTTTAGCAACAGATACAAAACAAATACCACAAAAATGCTGGTAAACTTCTGATAACATTGTATATTGTTTTATTTCAGTTTACAAGGCCACACCTTTGTACGATACCTTTCTTGAATCTCTAGAAAATCTCCTGACTTCAGAAAGTTCCGAGGAAGATGACAGCCAGGCCGAGATGCCTGCCCTCGACAAGTCTATCTTCACCCAGCAGATTGAGGATCAGATGAACATACGGGGGACATATGACCGACTGTTGAGGATCAATTTTGACACAGTCTTCACAGCTTGTTTGGATAAGTTCTCTCCTGACAGTGTTACCTCTGAGAATCTTTGTGACAGGTGTGTGTTTGTGCTACCAAACATATTAGTAACTATAAATCTGTTTTTTAATTGCCATTAAGCTAAATGTCATACATAGCTGTATTTTATAGTACCAGCAAGTAGTGGTATTAGGAGTACTAGCTATGCATGCATATAAAAAGCTTGTATACAAGATATTTCAAAAATCCTTCTATAGATTTAGTTCATAAATATAATATAGTATAGTAAGATTTTTTACACCTAATTAGCTTTATTATTGGTCATTGGTTAAAGTTCAAGGGTTAAAGTTCATACTCTACCACTTTTAGTTTGTGTACAAGATAGTATATCTGTCAACAGAATTACTTGTAGTTCATATTCACATCATCTCATCATGTATATACTTGGTGAGATTTTGTTGGCCATGTGTCAAGGTTAAAGGTCAAATTTTGAAAATAAAAATATCAGGAGGTAAGGATTACATCTATGTGAGCCTGAACTCTCTTTGGTTTTCTGTCTTTTGTATTATTGTACTATCTGCCTTAAAAATGGTCATATATTAATTATGTGATTGTCTGTTGTAGTGCTGTCCAGCTAACAAGGAATGGTCTCCAGCCATTGTCAGTTATGCTACAGGAATGTCTTTATCCCCACATCCAACAACAATATTCCAAAATCTGTACTCACCTTGTGGTTATGCTCAAAAATGAGTACCACCTTATGGAGTACCTAGCTTCTATGAGGGTGAGTTTTACTCGTTGAGGTCCTGACCTCTGAGAAAAACTTAAAACAAATAGTATATAATGATGAGTTAACACAATATATATTTGTATATTGAAGACACTTAAAATAGTACTAGGGGAATTAGACCAGGTGTTCCAGAAGAATTAACATCTTCTGCTTCATCAACCAAACAATATCTTCCCTGACTATATTTAAACATAGCCTCAGCCCATTTTGATTTTTTAACTCACCCTCAAGATTTCCACAATTAAAGCACCAAGCATCACTTACAAGTCCGAGAAGGACAGATCCGTTGTTTGATGTTTAATTTTTTATTCAGCATACACTCTTTTTCTACTGCAGATTTGTCTTGAAGACATTGACACATGAATTCATGTATAGCAGCTGAGATAATCCAGTTTTGTGATAGAGTAAAGAATGAACTAGCTCTGATATTGTTTTGTAGGATGGCTGTAACATACTCCATTGTTGTATTATAGAATCACATCGATAATTGATCAAACAATTTTTTTTCAGCGTTTCTTTTTGATGGAAGCAGGAGACACCATGTTTGAATTCTATGCTCCCATATTTGACAAGGTAATTGTATTAGGTTTAATGCTGTACATTGGAAAAATTCCCCATTATTTTTACCCTTGTATAATACTGTTTATTTTTGTTTGTTGTTAAATTTACCTTTAAATACATACAGATGTTGCCTTTCCAACACCACACCTTATATATTCATCCTACTGGTCATTTCCACTGTAACACACACCACATATATTCACCCTACTGGTCATTTCCACTATAACACACACACCTTATATATTCACCCTACAGGCTATTTCCACTGTAACACACAACCTTATAGTATCACACAACCTTATATATTCACCCTACTGGTCATTTCCACTGTAACACACAACCTTATATATTCACCCTACTGGTCATTTCCACTGTAACACACAACTTTATATATTCACCCTACTGGCCATTTCCACTGTAACACACACCTTACATATTCACCCTACTGGCTATTTCCACTGTAACACACAATTTTATATATTCACCCTGCACGCCATTTCCACTGTAACACCACACCTTTGAAATTTATCTGAGTTATTTAGTGTGTGATTTTGATGAAGAGACAGTGACATTGTAGTTCATACAGTTGCTTTTTATTACAGATCCGCCTTCATGAACATTGGAGAGATGCTTCCTCCATCAACCTAACACTACAGGAGGCATTACAGACTTACTTTCCAGATGAAGTCAACAGGTACACTGTTACGAACAAAACTAAAATGAATGACCTTTGTTGATGTAAACTGTTGCCATATTTTTACAACAACAGTTCCATGTTTGGTACCCAGCAAAGGCTATATCAGTTATAAGCTCATCTCCCTCTTGTAGATGTGTTGGTCCCTTTAGCATTAGATAATAAGGGCTGGTGTTGTTAATCTAAGTACTGGTGTATTGATTTGTGATTGTTTCTGGGACTAATGGCAACATTTACATTGATATGGTATAAACAAGGTTTAAAAAAAAACTCCTGAAGAAATGTTACGTAAATTTTAACTAAAGTTGTCTTTAGAAAACCAGTGGTCAGGCGGATTAAATATCGTGGAGAGAAAGGTTACAGCTTGTCTTCAAGATTTGAGGACAGAAAGTTTTCAGTTTGTGCGTACATACATACATACATATTATGAATTTTGTAATTTGATTCAGTTTGTACGTACATACATACATACAGATAATGGATTTTGTAATGTGATTTAGTTTGCATGTACATACATGCATACAGATAATGGATTTTGTGATGTGATTCAGTTTGTACGTACATACTTACATGCAGATAATGGATTTTGTGATGTGTTTCAGACTGACGATAGAGATCAGCCCCTTGCCTTCCTCCTCAGAGCCAAACCCGATTAATGTCACTGATTGTATGACACTTCAATATAAGGTAAAATATTCCATTACTGATCCCATCATATCCCATATAAGGTAAAATATTACATTACTGATCCCATCATATCCCATATAAGGTAAAATATTCCATAACTGATCCCAACATATCCCATATAAGGTAAAATATTACATTACTGATCCCATCATGTCCCATATAAGGTAAAATATTCCATTACTGATCCTATCATATCCCATATAAGGTAAAATATTACATTACTGATCCCGTCATATCCCATATAAGGTAAAATATTCCATTACTGATCCCATCATATCCCATATAAGGTAAAATATTCCATTACTGATCCCATCATATCCCATATAAGGTAAAATATTCCATTACTGATCCCATCATGTCCCATATAAGGTAAAATATTCTACAAACATGACTGTATAGAACTGACCATGATAAAGGTCTATCATGTAGCATAGAAATACTGGCGGTATGTTTATAATGTGTAATAGGTAGATACAGTTGAATCTCAATATCTCAAACTTTTATAACTCAAAGACCAGTGCCCATATTCATGAAATCATTCTCATGCTCAAGCATAGATTTTGTGCTCAAGCAATTTTTTTTATAATTCATCATATAAAATAATACAAATGTCAAATTTAAACCTTGAAGTCCTTTCACATTTTTTGTTAAAATCTTCTGCAAAATCAGCCTTATTTATTAACCTTTAACTTATACAAGACATAAGGCTTAAGCACAAAATTCATGCTTGAGCGTGAGAACGGTTTCATAATTATGTGCTCAGGTATAATTTGAAGTATTTTGTCTGTCCCAATCACAATTTAGACTTAGCATTTAAACTTTACTTATATTGAATACTCTGATAACCCAAAGTTTTCCCATCGTCTTGCTGACTTCGAGATAATGAGGTTGAACTGTATTCTTACTATATAATATATAAACTTTATTTATTTTACAACAATTACGAAACAAGTTATGTCAACTTATACTAATCACTCTTGTTGGCCCGGATGTAAGCGCGCGAGGGGTCTTACTGTGGGAGGAAACCGGAGTACCCGGGGAAAACCCACATGGTCAGGCAGGTGACCCCTTACCTTTTCACGTCTGTTCCGGGAATCAAACCCCGGTCGGCTAGGTGAAAGGCGAGTGCATTACCACTGCACCACCCGACCACCCACTGTATTCTTTCTCTGTTTTGAACTTTACAAGGGCACCTCATTATAACATTATCTCAAATTGAAGATTACTGGCATGTAGGATTATCCTTGTTCTAGTTCACATTATCTCTAACAACTAAAAATACAATCACATATTTTTTTTTTTTTCTTATTTTTCTCTGTTCTGTTTTTGGAGATGGATGTTACTCTATCAAAATGTGATGCAGGTAACATTCAAAGTGAGGCAGAATTTCATTAATATTCATGATGTTATGATAGTCAGGATCACAAACTATAACCATCATCCAGACTTCAAATGCAAACCAAAAATTTGCAGACACTCTGTCATGGTTATACCACTGCATGTTTATTTTTTTGATTGACCAATCAAATGCTGTGTAACATCTAGCATGAATGACATACATTGTAGGTCCCGTGGCCTGTAGATGTTGTAATTAATACGAAGTGCCAGAAAATCTATAACCAGGTGTTTAGTTTCCTACTGCAGATCAAACGAGCAAAGTACTGTCTGGATGAGCTACGATTCTTTGGTAGGTACAATATATTATCATAAAATTCTTTTATTCGCAGACTTTGTCCATTTTAAGTAAATTTATAGTTACAATTTACAAATTTATAAATCGTGTAAAAATTACTTTTCATAAGTAAAATTTACAAACTAAAGATATCATACAGTGTTCTATCATTATGTTTTCTGTTAATTTCTAGATCTGGAAAAAGAAGATCTTGTGTATAATAACTCACAAGAAGAGTTACTTGCCCTTAATGAGGAACTCCCTGCTTCAGCTCGTGTCCACAGGGTTCACGTTCTCCGAATGAGGCTATTATTTTTTGTGAACAGTCTACATAATTATATCATGACGAGGGTAAGTAATCTATTTAAATTTCATATATGTTTTGATTTTAGATTTTTGACACATATACACATGAATGGAACTGAGTTAACATTGTATGTGTATGTGTGTAAATACCTGTCTCTACCTTCGCAACCAAGTAGCCGAGATCATGATAAATCTTGAACACTTGTATAATCATATACCATGTTATATATCAAAAAAGTTGTTTCATGGCAGTAACAGTTGTTCTTACCACATTGTATTTGGAGATTTTGTGATGTACTGGTGTAATTGAATATCTTTGACTCACAATCCTTCTATGTGGATTTCTACAAATATGGTTTCATTTGAACAGTGTTATTTGCTGAAGTTTTTGAAAAACAATATATAGTGTTAAGTTGTGGTAGAATATTTTCCTTTCATTTAAGCGTATCGCAAATAAAATTAAAAAAAAACAAGATCATCTTTTTACATACTGTAAATCAATTGGATTTAGCGAATGCTTTATTTCACAACCTAACCTCTTCAGACATATTCACGAATACATGATTTCATGAATGGTGATCTAGAAATGACTTCACATTCATGCATACGAGGGGTTATTAGATATATGGACTTTGATACCAGTAACGAAATCAGCATGGATGTTATCAAGAGTTATTGTCATATCATTAATCACGAAAGATATGAATTCCATTTGACTCTCCTTGTGTTTGAACGCGAAAACAAATCCCATGCGAAATATAATTGATCTACAGTATTAGTCACAGTCAGTGAAAGAAACACTTTGCCATCATATGTAATACATGACAGGTCATCTCATTAAATTTCTCATTTATACGTAACGAGTACTTCCGACTGCCTAGAAACAGTTATCAGGACAGTATTTTAATGATGTCATATCAGCAACAGTGCTACTTAGATTATAATATAACAGAATTAATGTAAACCAGAATCATGGCCAAAACCCTTCATGGTCTTTAGGAGATGTGGAAAGGTCTAAATGATGTGGTCTGTAACAATTGGGCATGATTATTGTTAGGTCAGGTGAGCTTATGTCATAGCATGGTGTCCAGCGTCAACTTTTTCCTTAAAACAACTTCTTCTCAATAACCAAATGACTAATTTTTTCATATTTAGCTGGTATGTTCCAAGGATAAAGCCCAAAAAGGTTTGTAAAAAGAAATGACCTTGACTTACATTCAGGGGTCAAATTTGTTAAAATAACTTCTTCTCATGAACATAGGTGCATGATATTTGGTTGGTATATAAGTTATCAGGTGAGCACTGCAGGCCCATTGGGACTCTTGTTTTCAATTGTTGATCTGTTTTTGGCATCTGGTAATGTTTTTTATCTATACTTTTATAATGTTTTTGTCTTTAATAAGATATTACACAGCACAGGGCTGGAGTTTCAGACAGAGATTGAGAAAGCGAGGGACCTTGACCAAATCATCAAAATTCACAACGACTACATCCACAAGATTCACGAGAGATGTCTTCTCCACAAGAAAGTCAAGTTCCTCAAAGAAGCTGTGATGAAGGTCCTCAACCTCATTTTGACTTTCCACAATCTTTGGGACAAAGGCATTCATCACATCAGGTATCAACTCAGGATCGTAACATCAAAACATGTAAAGATGTTGTTTTCATATGGTGCAATTTTTCATGATTTTATCAAGAGCTTGATGTAAAAAACCCAACAGCCCAAACTATCAATGCAAAAAATATAGTAGGCTGCAGCTTAGTTATCAACAGCCCAAACTATCAACCTATACATAAGACTGCAGCCTAAGCCATCAACCTATACAGTGGCCTGCAGCCTTAGTTATCAACCTATATTGTAGGCTGCAGCCTTAGTTATCAACCTATACAGTAGGTTGCAGCCTTAGTTATCAACCTATACAGTGGCCTGCAGCCTAAGCTATCAACCTATACAGTAGCCTGCAGCCTTAGCTATCAACCTATACAGTAGCATGCAGCCTTAGCTATCAACCTATACAGTAGTCTGCAGCCTTAGCTATCAACCTATACAGTAGCATGCAGCCTAAGCTATCAACCTATACAGTAGCCTGCAGCCTTAGTTATTAACCTATACAGTGGCCTACAGACTAAGCTTTGTCAACCTGTACAGTGGCATACAGACTAAGCTTTGTCAACCTGTACAGTGGCATACAGAAAAAGAGTTGAAGCTTAGATTATGGATTAGTATAGTCTTTCACTTCCTTGTTGTTGAAAAACACAGGGTTCAAGCTCTCTCCTTATTCATAACATTACACTATGGATTGTCATAGAATTGTTGGTGTAATGACATTCAGTTTTAATAATTGAAAGTTTCACTTTAGACTTCCTATTGCATTTTATTTGAGAAGAAATATAACGGTAACAGCATAATTCAGTAGGAATTGAATGTTGTATTTGAATAGCAATACAACTGTAACATTTGTATTTCAGTAGGAAGAAAGTCCATTTAAATAGAATATAACTATTGACTTCCAAATGTATTTCAGTAGAAATGTAACATTGTATTTCAGTAGAAATATAACATTGTATTTCGGTAGAAATGTAACATTGTATTTCGGTAGAAATGTAACATTGTATTTCGGTAGAAATGTAACATTGTATTTCGGTAGAAATATAACATTGTATTTAAATAGAATATAACTATTGACTTACAGTCTATATCTATAACATTGTATTTCAGTATAAAGACTGTACAAGAGATTGAGGTAGAATTTTCTCGCTGTATCCAGTTTCTGGCCTCCTTCCTTAACAACGTCATCAAAAGAGGCTCATTTCCTCACTGTAAGTACCACAGTGTACCACAGTACACCACAGTACACCACAGTACACACAGTACACCACTGTACACACAGTACACACAGTACACCACTGTACACACAGTACACCAAAGTACACACAGTATACCACAGTACACCACAGTTCGCCATAGTACACACAGTACACCACAGTACACACAGTATACCACAGTACACCACTGTACACACAGTACATCAAAGTACACACAGTATACCACAGTACACACAGTACACCACAGTTCACCACAGTACACACAGTACACACAGTACACCACAGTACACACAGTATACCACAGTACACACAGTACACCACTGTACACACAGTACACCAAAGTACACACAGTATACCACAGTACACACAGTACACCACAGTACACACAGTATACCACTGTACACACAGTACACCAAAGTACACACAGTATACCACAGTACACCACAGTTCGCCATAGTACACACAGTACACCAAAGTACACACAGTATACCACAGTACACACAGTACACCACAGTTCACCACAGTACACACAGTATACCACAGTACACACAGTACACCAATGTACACACAGTACACCACTGTACACACAGTACACCAAAGTACACACAGTATACCACAGTACACACAGTACACCACAGTTCACCACAGTACACACAGTACACCACAGTACACACAGTACACCACAGTACACACAGCACACACAGTATACCACAGTACACGCAGTACATCACAGTTCACCACAGTACACACAGTACACCATAGTATATCACAGTACACCACAGTACACTACAGTTCACCCCAGTACACACAGTACACCATAGTATATCACAGTACACCACAGTACACCCCAGTACACACAGTACACCACAGTTCACCACAGTACACCACAGTACACCACAGTGTTATGAGAGCAAGGTGATTAATCATGCATAATTTAGGTATGATGAGGTCACTTTTGAAAGTCGTTTGAGTTTAGGTTGTCTACAAATTAGTTTATTTAATTAATCCAATGACAGAGCACATTATCTCATCTTGGTATCATTGCTTTAGAAAACCAAACTCTCAGAACTTATATAATGGACAATGGAATTTCCACTCTCTGTTTTCGTTATTTAAAAGAGGTCATTATTTATTTCAATACTTTTGCTAGGATTTTAATGAAGGACCTCTGACTTACTAGTGCAAAACTCAGTTGATCGAGCTGTAGAGAAATTCTCTCTAGCTGAGTGGTATATTTCAGCCAGTGTTTCTCTGGGTTGCAATAGTACACTATTGCCTTGTGGTTTGAGAATCCCTCCATGTTAAGATCTTGGTAGAGATCAGAGTCTTTTAATGCTTTGAACAATTCAGTATGGTGGAATTTCAAAGGTTTAAGTGGTTATACCATGCCTCCTACATCGTTGTTTCTGTATCACCACTGTATATGTTTATCTATAAGTGAATAATTCTGTGTGACATTTTGTCTGGTTTCAGTGGAGTCCCTCGCCTTCGCCCTGATTACTTCCACAGAGCATGTGACTCGACTACGACCCCACTGACCAATGGTCATGTGACGTAATCAACATACACTTTAATATTGTCCTGGACAGATTCTTAAAAATGGAGAAGTGTCCAAGTTTTCAGCATCAGTTACTTTACAGCAGTGATAGAAATCAATTTAGCACTGGTTTATATATACATAAGTTTATCATGTTGAATTGTGATCAAATAATTTTAAAATGTTTTCTGTAATAAATATTTTGAATTAACTTAAATTCTTGTCTTATAATTCTTTGAATTACAATTTTACAAATAACATTGATGTAGTAATGATAGTTCTTAACAGAGCTGTTTAATTGATTTTAATAAATGTACAATAAGCCCATTAAGTGACCACTCATATCTTAGACTGGGCTTAATTTTGTTTGCTGTATTCAAGAGACATTTAAAACTCAACAGGATATATAGCAATGTAATTTTAGGCATCTAACAAAAATAAATTTTGTATAAAAACTCAATAGGAAAAACTGGTGCATCACTTTAAAAAGATATGCTCAAACAGGCATTCCCAAAGTTACGATAAAAGTTCAACTGTAATCGTGTCTTATTTACAGATATGTAAACACGTATCTTGATCGAGACGATAACTAATCGGTGAGTTCTGTAGGGTGAGAAAATGTCAATATTAGATCTAGCTGCCATGCTTCTTGTGGTATTGGTCTAATTCTACTGACCAAACCACAAGTTTGTTCTGGGTGAACCTCTGCCACTCCTGAATCAATTCAGCCCAAAATTTTTCATTTGTTTGGCATTTTGGATGTTGCGCATTAACTTTTTGTGAAAGATAGCCCCTCCTATGCTTGATAAGGTTCATGTCTGTGAAATGTCACTATCACTTCTCGTTGAAGACAGTCTTGTAATAGTTGGGCTCTGTGTGGTGTGTCATCGTCCACTAGAATAAGCCAATCTGCCCATGGATAGGCATCTGTACATCTGCCCATTAAAATTCCATCACGGACCAAAGCTTACAAGTCAGAGAAAAGCATCCCCTAACAGTAACGCCACCAAGTTGTTGTCTCCGAGACTGTAATTCTGATGGTATGGTACGTCATATTTGATGGTCAGACTTAAGTAAAAAGTGGCTTTCATCAGACCAGTGGAATGTTTTTGTAAAGACTTTATATTCCAATGATCACATGCCCATTGCAGTCTTACTTGTTTGTGCCATCCCATCAACAGAGGATGTTTCACTGGTTGGGAAGAGTAAAGTTGCCTATTACTCCAAACATTTGATGTTACACCAGCTATTGCAAATATTAACATCGAGCCTGTTGGCAGTGGTGAATGGGGCTCACGTTGCCTGGTTTAGACAGAAGTCTAACTTCTCTATCTACGTTAAATAATTTTTACTAGTAAAGCCAGCAGAAAATTATACATTACAATTGTTGGCAAAGCTCCGAGATGTATGGTTTCCTCTCCACCTGTTGGTGTTCCTCAGGAAGTAGAGATCACAACTTTTACTGTTATGTAGTTGTGTTCTCGAGTAAATACTTTCCCCTAATTGCTCTGGATGGCATATAACACACCTCCCATATGTTGTTCAGTGTGGTAGCCATCAGCTACTGCAAGTAGACACTGCCTCAAAAATCACCCTAGCTGTTGACAGGACAATAAATCCAACAGATTCAACACCCTGTACAACCAAACATTGATCATATGATTTATGGTAGAATAAACCTGAGGAACAAACACATTACTGACTAAAAGCCACACCTGAACCTATAAACACACAAGTAGTATTTGTTGTTTTCTGCAGAGTATTGATCGATAAAAGGAGGCTTATTTCTGGATACAGTGCACAGGTCCAATAAAGTATACTTAACTCTTTTCACAGTGGATCTACTTGGACTCCATAATCATTTTTCAGTATTGACCTCAATTTTGGTACTTTTCAGGGGCTATGAAAACCTTAGTATAATGTTTTATATATTTAAACCACACCCCTTTTTTCATGTGTCAAATTATCACAATAATGCACACAATGACAAGAAACACTTTTGTGATTTTAAATCAAAACATTTAATCCCCAAGGTGGGTAAGAAAACTACAGCAAATTTATATACTGATATACATGTAATCCAGGAAGGTTTTAAAACACTTTTTTAATTTATTCTGATGATATCACATTGCAAGATTTCATCTTTTTGTGAGTAGATAAAACAGTCACCACGGCAGTGTATAATCATGAAGTTGTAATGTGTGTGAATGGAAAGTAGACTTTAATCTTATCTTATATTTATTTTAAATTCAAGGTTTGGCTAATTATCAATTATCAACTAAAATGCAACAATTTCAGCACTAACAGTGGGGCTGAACTAAGTTATACTAGGGCCCATAGTGAAGTCTATCTACCAAGGACCAAGCTGTAGTATATCTGTATGGCATACTACATAAACTTTCACTTGTGTTGGAGTAGAACTAAGTATTAAAAGAGAGGCAGCACTATTACAAGTTAGCACTAATTTGCTGGAACCCGTCACTTAAAACCAAGTTAGCACTATGCCAGGGCTCATGATTTGTAACAAATCGCCTCAAACTCAGCCATAACAAAAACCTGCTTGAAGTTTTCTCAGAGTGCTGGATGTTACCTCTGATATTGACGAAGATTTCCCGTGGCATAGCATTGCCTACAGCTATGTTGCCTAATATCTTTGTAAGGGTACAACACCTTACAGAAATGTTTTTTCCTAAAAATATCATGATCCTTACAAGTTTAATTACAATACATTGAAAGAAACTCCAATGCGGACATTTTGCTCAGCTGTTTTCCCAAGGTTAATAAACCATTAATGATTCAATCCGTTTCTATTATCTAAAATGTGTTTCATTCCCACATGGACAATGACTGACCATAATTACCACATGCATTAAAGCTGGGGATTAATCAGTTACCCTACCATAATGACAGCTACTTTTGTTTATGTAGACAGACAGATTTGTCCACATTTTAAATGTCATCTTGCAGGCGTACATCATAATGGACCTTCAGATATCAATACAGGTCTTGATGGGCATTGTCAAGACAGCAAGCAAATCAGATAAACATGTGTATCCTTATTTTATAAACAGTCAACCCTGATCCAACTGGTGTACAAGAACAGCACAGAGTAAACTGAAACACCATCTTGATTTGACTAGCCTTTCCTGTGGTACAGATTTGCTATGAAACAAGATTCTATGGCAACCTTTCGATAAGGTCAGTTCTAGGGTTATCACACAAGAGTACATGTAATTTTAAACTGACACATCTGCTTGCACAAATGAACAAACAATCAGAAACAGAAAGACACAAATCTGCTAATAGTGGGGTTATCTCTCATCTAAATAGTTCTCACTAGTAAATCTCTTGCCACCTTTCGAACTCAAAATTTCCTCAACTACATCACAGTATTACCCTCTAAACGGCATTTTCAGCAGTGTAAAGTTGAAATTTAAGAAATTTGGTTTGGGAAAATGAATACATATAGCTCTTTGAAGATCAACAAGATTATACCATATTCATCCTACATTAAGCCCCAAGAGCAGACATATTACACTCAAGGGCTGGGCATATTACAAAACACTGACATAGCACTTGTTGGTAATTTTATTTAACAGCAAATATATGAGGGATTATTACCAGGCATGGGCTTATTGACAGATAATTACGGTAATACATATTTTTGACATGTGCCTTGCCACAGCACATTCTGGAAAGCTTTCTTGAAATCTAATACGAGACGATTATCTCTATCTACAAAAAAATTATATCATTAGTTCGAACTGCGTATTATACACTGTAGAAATAGCACTTTATTTATCACATTATAATAATGTATCATTCAAGCCACACTTACATATAAATTATGTAATACTGTCATATACTATCATCCACTTCATTTATATATTTGATTGCAGAATTTTATCAAACAATAACTTCCCATTGAACGTTAAAACAAAGAGAATTTCTATCAAAGTTGTACAACATCACATGTTGAGTACAACTGTACAGGCATGTTCTGAAAAATTCTTCCAGAAAACACTTTCAAAGTATTTAAGCAAACTGATAACATAAAGTAGCTCTGACATAAATTATATGCACCAAGTATGACCATAATTACCCTGAAAGTAACTCTTTTGTCATAACTGTGACTTTCAGAAGTCTGGTAAGCCAGCAAGCTTTAAATAGCCCACAATGTTTAAATGAATTCTTTATTTCAATATTTAGTATGAAAATAAGTCAGTGAAGGTTAAATTCACACTATATGGGGTCCAAGATTTGAAATATTTCTTTAAAAAAATTAATGACTTAAGTTTGAGACTTTCAAATGGGACTATGCTGTCCAATCCTTGCTCAGGAAAAGACCTGGTTCTGTATTTTTGGGCTATAGTGCCATGCGATGTGCAGCTTTATCCAGTCTCCGCAGTGAAAGGCAACCTGAAAGTTATAGGATTATCTCTCCACATTATCACCTATTAGCAAAATACAACATTGAGCACAGTCTGTTGATATGTCTTCAGCTAGTATCCATGACGATAATGTCAGTAGATGATGTGGATTGGGCATCTTTCTGTATGCTTTCAAACATACTACATAGTTCTGTTGTAGACTTGATCTGGGACAGGAACTCATTCATCTGAGCGCTTTTATCTGGAAACATCAATGTTAAACAAGGTTGACATACAATGTTTTTGATCTTGTTTCACCGAGTAAAACTAAAATGTCTCCCTGAGGATAACCAATACCTCCCACAGATGCAAAGACTTCTCCGTTATCAAAACAAATTGCAAGCTAATCCACATATTCTACATATAGTATTAGTATTGATATGAACATTCATTGGAATATGTTTACTGGTTTAGGAGTCTCCAGCCAATATTCATAGACTACTGACAAACAGGGTGATTTCAGTTTAACACCTCCTTCCCCAACTTCATTTTTTGGGTATAATGATTGTGTGAAACATGGAGTAAGGGCTCTACAAATTTGGTGAGGTATTAAAACCCCAGGTAACCAAAACAACATAAATCACCCGTTACAGTAGTAAAATCTATTTTAACTTATCTTCAGGAAGCAAAGAAAAATATACATGCCTTATCCTACATTTCACCAGTAGTCTCCTTAAATACACTTAATTAGACACAATCAAATTTCAGTGCAACATCATTTTTTTGACAAATTAGTGCAATGATGCGTTTTTGTATCCATAACAATTACAATACAAATAATGTACAGAAACTGCAATAAGTGTAATATTTTACACCAAATACTTGCAAAAAGCATTATAATAAGATAATATGATTAATAATATGAACTATGCATGTACACATTAAATGATATACCAGGAAAACCTTTACAGGAGAGAGAATCTGGGATATCGACAGTTTCAGAGATACTGAATACATCATAAATTTCCAAGGGGGAATTATTTCCATTGATTTCATGAGTTCACTTAAAGCACAAATATGTATAATTTGATTTATCAAGCTATATTTATCCACAATATCAATAGTCTCTGAAAAACACTGAAATCTGAAGCCAAGGATATGATTATACAGTGGTTAAGTCTAGGTAAACCGATGACCGACTTACCTGCATCAGGTATAGCTAACAGGGAGGCTACTGCCCTCATGGCTGACCGCTTAAGTTCATCCTGCTTTTCAAATTCTTGTTTGACAGAGTGGGCCTTGACCTTAGTTGTGCATGTTGCTCTCAGAGGCTCTACAAGTCGATCCAAACCTGCAATTTATAGCATAAATAGGTTTAGACAAGTTGCTCTGCTTCGTCCGAGTCAGGAGTTGGGCTTATTACAGGACCTCAGAGGACTAACATATTACCTCTGACTCCAAGTCAGGGCTCAGAGAGTTAGTTACCAGATAAATACAAATTTAGACTGCAACTCACGTTGTAAGACCGCACTGGGACAGAGATGGGCAAGTCGCACCAACATGAGGTATGTCAACATTTTAATGTCATAGTGATCCTTGAGTCCATCCTCAACATGGTTCAGGAATTCAAATATATCTAGTCGATCCAGACAGGAGTCCAGGAGGGTATACATACACTCAAATGCAGCCTGAAACAAATGTACATGTGCTCAACTTTTGTCAATTATACACAGAAGCATTTACCCATCCCATAGAAAGGTTTACTTAAGAAAAATGTATAGAATAAAACATCAATATTTATGCTGGACTGATAAAATTTTTCTTTGGACTATGTATCTATACTTTTCTCAACTGAGAATGACTAAACACTAAGGTGTAAGTAAATATCTGCTGAGGAGATTCAAAAGAATGCAAACACAAGATTTGTATGACGAACATCTGATGCAAATGCTACACAACGACCCACAGAAAGTATGTAAATACATATCCCTTGTACTAAGTAAGGAATAGATTTATTGCTGTAACAGAAGCATGACGTCAATAAGGGGATTAACATCATAACTGTCAGGAAATTATTCCCCCTTGGGTTTAACAGACTCTTCAGTTTACAACTACATGCTAAGGTCTTGTTTTGCATGTTTTTGCCAACAACATAGTTCTGCCATCCCTTCTCTGTCAGGGTGATATTTCTCGTCACCCCCAAAGGAAGTAAATACTTTCATTATTCTTTTTTTATATACCCTTGCAGAAAGCAAAGAGAAAACGTTATTAATTTTTTTACAGTGAAATGTAAGGTTTAACAGTGAGAATATAAGTAACATTTTTCACTGAGTGACATAATAGGTTTTGATATTTTCACTCACTTTTTGCCAATCAGAGCACTGTATTTGCAGTGAAAAATGTTAATTTTAGAACTGTATTGCTACTTCAGGAAGGACAACTCTGACATATATGATTGATACTGATCTATCTGAATTTACTTATTTTGTGTTGAATCTTTAGAAGACTTGTTACTTAAATATAAAACTATGTATTCACCAAAGTAATAAATTGTTTCATGGCAACATTTTAATTTAATCTCACGTGGTGTAAGCATTTGTTTTCACTTTTGCACTTGTGATTTTCCACCCCACTCGATTAAATATAACTGTTTTTCATCAAGAAACAAGAAAATCTTCTATATGCCTGTAACAATCTGACTTATATCAAAGGACCGTTAAAAATGAAACCATTTTACAGAGAGTATCATACCAAAATGTTCCTAATCAGTACTCACCTTTCGTATGTCTAATCCATCATCCAGCGTGTGTTTAAATGGACCCATTTCTACTTCTCTAATCAGTTCTTTCTGTAAGAATAATAAAAAGGACATCAGGAGATGTAATCAAAACAAAGGGAGCTCGGGCTCTTATAGACATATCCTCCTACCCTGGATCAAAGTGGCCAAGGGTGACCTTTGACCTCAACTAATGACCACTGACCACCAAATTCTAAGCTTCTCTGTGACCTCGACTTCCATAGAAAGTACTGGTAAAGAGAAGCTGACAAGATGTGATAACATTTCAAACGTTCCCATGATCATGATGGTAGTTAACACAAACACACTTACATTACACAGTAGGTACAGACAGCCTGATATTTTGATTTCTTTTTCAAACATTTGATCATAAGAGTAAAAGCCCTATTAAATTACAATTGGGAAAAGCCGACACAAAGATTGAGAAAACTTGGGGAACATACCAAAAGTCAACAGTAACACTAACGTAAAAAAAATCAATGAAATAGCAAACACCTAAGAAAATGAGTAAGCAAGGGACACTTCAGTATATGACAACTGTCCACTGTTACTCACCCTAACTTTGGTTTCGTTATACAAATGGGGCAGTACATTGTCCAACAGGTCCCGGATCAGGGAAGGTTTGTTGTGAGCTGCAGAGTTAAACGTGACCAAGGCCACTCGCCTCACATTCAGGTCAGGGTCCTGTAGAGTCTTTAGGAAGTCACCAATACAATTACGAAGTAATGGGTCTATACCTTGAGGCTAAAACAAGATGAAATAAATCAAATTTCATTTGATGAAAGATACCATATAAATTACTATCTATGAAATTGGCAATGTATTGTCAGAGCCAAAAGTTACAGAAAAGTCATGTAGATCTTCATATAATAAAAACCATTAATTTATGGGGGGGGTTGTTATTTCTGTCATGATTTCATAGATATTTTTAATTCAGGAAAGTTGTACATAAAACACTCAATCAACTATTAAAGATACAACGTGGTGTTTTAGTATTAATGGGTTTCACAAGTACTATTTATCCTTGGACAAATAGTACTTAATTCCTTCCCACCTTGAACGATCAAATTTGAGCTCAAATGAAAACTTTTGACTTAATGTTAGATTTTAATTTTTAATGTCTTTCAAATAAAAAAGAAAAGAAAAGTGAGCTAAAAATGTTCTTCACAACTAAATTTCCTGTTAAAGCATCAACTTACTTGATCAGAAATAGTAAATTTTATTGCCGTGACAACAGTACTCCTGGTGAGAGCTGATTGGTTGTTGAGGTGTTGTTTGAGACTGGAGAGGAGAGCTGTTGGGTCGATCAGTGTGAGTTTGCCGAGGCATTCAGACACAACATTCCTTGTACCTTCCTCAGGACATTCACAGTGATGGAATAACATTGTCCTAAAAGCCAAGTTAAACATTATACAGAAATCTCCTAACACTTCAGTGAGCCAATATTACAGTATTGAGAAGACTTTCAGCATTATGATTTGTACATAAAGGCATTTATACCTTAGGGTTAGTACAAAGAAACGTACATACCAGATAGTTTGAACATAGGGCTTGAGGTTATCCACTCCTGTTGAGGATCCTGACTCACAGCTTATAATCTGAAATGGTCAAAAATACACATGTCAATATGATTCTGTGATTCAAAAGATATCCTGTGACAACACACAACACGTCAATATGATTCTGTGATTCACCAGTTTATCCTGTGACAACAGACAACACTTCAATATGATTCTGTGATTCCAAAAATATCCTGCGACAACACACAACACGTCAATATGATTCTGCGATTCCCCAGTTTATCCTGTGACAACTGACAACAATTCAATATGATTCTGTGATTCCAAAAATATCCTGTGACAACACACAACACGTAAATATGATTCTGTGATTCCCCAGTTTATCCTGTGACAATTGACAACACATCAATATGATTCTGTGATTCCCCAGTTTATCCTGTGACAACAGACAACATGTCAATATGATTCTGTGATTCCAAAAATATCCTGTGACAACAGACAACATGTCAATATATTTTGGAATGCATGCCTTTATCTGTTGTAGTATAAATTCATTTAAGGAATTCAATATCTGAGTTATCAATATTTCTGATAACTTCAGAATTTCTACACTTTAACAACTATATATATTAAGGACTCTCGACATCAGAGAGCGATTTTCTTGTTTATTACCACGACTCTATCGTTGACATGTTTGGACAGCTCTACATTGTTGAGAATCCTTTGTCATATCTACAAGTTTACTGCATAGGAAGGATCTCTAGTAAATAGCACATGGTATCTGTTCAACAACGTTGCCACAATCTAAGACTTAAAGAGTGTTGGTTCTCCCAAAGTATCATATTCTCCTATAAGAGCTATGTGAAGGTTTTACCTCTTTCAGAGAGTGTAGAAGGAGATACTGTCGCTTTGGCTGATTTTCTATCTCTTTAAGAACAAATGGCAAGAACTTGTTCAAGTTGCCAACACTGACATTACCTGTAGAAACAAATAAAATACATTTTATAGATGATTCTGTGAACCTGATTCTGTAGAGAAGCAATGCTAATTTCCAAAAGAATTCCAAACTTTTCTTTATTTATGCAATCATTTAAAATCTAACGACCCTGTTTGATAGGGTTAGGAAATCAGTCCTGTCAGACCTTGGTTTCAAAGTTTCCATCAAGTGATAGAAAATATAAAATTCCTTTTCATTTAATTAGAGATCTTTGAAACTTCTCATAAACCTTTCACCTTAGCAAAGCTCTTTTCGAAACTTCTGTTTCACATCAAACATACCTTACCCACTGGAGTTAACACCTTCCATGTTGCTTTTTAATGATACTGAGCAAAATTTTGTGAATTTTTACCTCAAGAAGAGTAAATGACATATTCCATGTATTTTATAGGCAATAATCCCAGAGTGCCAAAACACTACATCTGATCTAAAGGTATGAGCTGGATTTAATACCAGGACAATGATTTGCTAGGCTTACTGATGGATACAGTACTTACCAAGGGCATAGGATGCTGCAGCTTTGACTTCTTCGTTTAATGAGGAGAATGACTCTAATATAACGAGTTGGATCTCTCCATGGTTACTGACATCACTGAGGAAACAGAGAGAAATTACATAAGTGTGAAGTAACATATATCAAATTCAATAAATTATCAGGATAAATTGTGGAGAGTTCTAATATAACAAGTTGGATCTCTCCATGGTTACTGACATCACTGAGGAAATAGAGAGAAATTACATAAGTGTGAAGTAACATATATCACATTCAATAAATTATCAGGATAAATTGTGGAGAGTTCTAATATAACAAGTTGGATCTCTCCATGGTTACTGACATCACTGAGGAAACAGAGAGAAATTACATAAGTGTGATGTAATATATATCAAATTCAATAAATTATCAGGATAAATTGTGGAGAGTTCTAATATAACAAGTTGGAGCTCACCATGGTTACTGACATCACTGTGGAAATTGAGGTCACAGCAGAAATCACAAAGGTATTATGTAACATCTGTCCAATTATCTAATAGTCAGGTATGAATTGTAACGATTCAAAAGACTTGCTTAACAAAAACATAACAATAACACAAAACAATGGATTACCAACAATATCATGACAAGATGTGTTGAAGAGAAAATATAGTCCCTTCAGTTCTGATAATCAACTAGATTAAAACACTGAGGGGTAAAGAACCTGGTATCAGTGATAGAATGTACTTACATGTGTTTTCCTATTTCTCCTAAAGCTAATAAAGCAAATAACTTGATAGAATCAGATGATTTCGCATTCTGTAAAAGAGAGAAAAAAGATGGATGTTTTTAAACGAAACAATACAGAAAGGAACTAAATTCTGCCAATTCTGATTACAAACTCAACAAGATCGTAAATACAAAGGTGGTCAGTCAAAAGTCAAATATAGGTCAGTTAAAATGCAGGGAAGTAAAATGTAGGTCAAATAAAGAAAGATCAGTAAATGTAGGTCAATGACAAATTGATCAGTAAAAATGTAGGTCAAATAAAGGAAGATCAGTAAATGTAGGTCAATGACAAAATGATCAGTAAAAATGTAGGTCAAATGAAGGAAGAACAGTAAAATGTAGGTCAATGACAAAATGATCAGTAAAAATGTAGGTCAAATAAAAGGAGATCAGTAAAATGTAGGTCAATGACAAAATGTAGGTAGGAAACAAGTAGGCCAATAAATGTAAGTCAGTCACATAAAATAAAATAAAAATATAAAATAAAATAATGGTCAATCAACGGGCTTAAAAGAGATACTTACACACACATCACTAACAAATTGGTTTACAACATTGTTGGCCTGAGATGGACTCTTCACTGTCAGGGCTGCCATACATTTGGCTATGGAATGGAATGCCTGGAATCACAAATATTCCCATTGTAAATATCAAATATTCCCATTGTAAATATAAAATTTTCCCATTGTAAATACCTAATTTTCCCCACTGTTGGTTAGTTCACTTGGAACTGGAACAAAAGTAAGCAATCACACAGAGTTTACATCTCGCTTTCAATGGTTTAATCGTACAGCGACAGAAGTCAGACTGAAGGATGGAATGATGCATCTGTTAACTGAAATCCCTTCAAATTTATTAGCATTTAGTTCCTCGAAATTATCAACAGAAACTAATTAGACCAATCAGAAATTAAAAAGTACTTAAATAATTATACAGAAATGTAAAACAATGATGTTGGTAGTTAAATTCAAGCTAAAGAACAGCAAGATACAACTGCAAACCAAATCTTATAGAAATCCATTAACATTTAGTTGTCGCACAGAAACAGCAGAGGTGAAAATATCAACATTTATAAATGTACACGGGACTGATCACTATGACTAAAAAGACTACTATATAGTGAATTGGCCAATCAGAAATACAGTTATAGAGTAACTGAATTAATCATGCATGTCAATGAACGACATTGGTAGTCTGGCTAAAGGATAGTAACATGTACCTTCCATTTATATAAATCAAAGTTATAACCTGTGTTTGGACAGGATATACAACACAGTACCAGTTTGTAGACAGGATATACAACACTGTACCTGTTTGTAGACAGGATATACAACACGGTACCTGTTTGTAGACAGGATATACAACACTGTACCTGTTTGTAGACAGGATATACAACACAGTACCTGTTTGTAGACAGGATATACAACACAGTGTTACCTGTTTGTACAGGATATACAACTGTAGACAGATATACAACACAGTACCTGTTTGTAGATATACAACACGGTACATACAACACAGTACCTGTGTGTATATACAACACAGTACCTGTTTGTAGACAGGATATACAACACAGTACCTGTGTGTAGACCTGTTTGTAGACAGGATATACAACACTGTACCTGTTGTAGACAGGATATTGTAGACAGAATATACAACACAGTACCTGTTTGTAGACAGGATATACAACACAGTACCTGTTTGTAGACAGGATACCTGTTTGTAGACAGGATATACAACACAGTACCTGTTTGTAGACAGGATATACAACACAACACAGTACAGGATATACAACACAGTACCTGTTTGTAGACAGGATATACAACACAGTACAACACAGTACCTGTTTGTAGACAGGATAGACAGGATATACAACACAGTACCTGTTTGTAGACAGGATATACAACACAGTACCTGTTTGTAGACAGGATATACAACTGTAGACAGGATATACAACACAGTACCTGTTTGTAGACAGGATATACAACTGTAGACAGGATATACAACACGGTACCTGTTTGTAGACAGGATATACAACACGGTACCTGTTTGTAGACAGAATATACAACACAGTACCTGTTTGTAGACAGGATATACAACACAGTACCTGAGTGTAGACAGGATATACAACTGTAGACAGGATATACAACACGGTACCTGTTTGTAGACAGGATATACAACACAGTACCTGTTTGTAGACAGGATATACAACACAGTTCCTGTTTGTAGACAGAATATACAACACAGTACCAGTTTACAGACAGGATATACAACTGTAGACAGGATATACAACACAGTACCTGTTTGTAGACAGGATATACAACACAGTACCTGTTTGTAGACAGGATATACAACACAGTACCTGTTTGTAGACAGGATATACAACACAGTACCTGTTTGTAGACAGGATATACAACACAGTACCTGTTTGTAGACATGATATACAACACAGTACCTGTGTGTAGACAGGATATACAACACGGTACCTGTTTGTAGACAGGATATACAACACAGTACCTGTTTGTAGACAGGATATACAACACAGTACCTGTGTGTAGACAGGATATACAACACAGTACCTGTTTGTAGACAGGATATACAACACTGTACCTGTTTGTAGACAGGATATACAACACTGTACCTGTTTGTGGACAGCGAATGCATTGCTGGAGGATTGAACACTAGAGGGAGGGTTGTATACTGGGCGAATCAGCATCTGCAAAGAAAGGAAAACATATACATTAAAATCACAATTTCACGAATTTCCATTTTAATACTCTGAAACCACCTGTTCATTGAACAGAGCACTTAATCCTATCAGTGTCCCTATATATTCCTTGTGATCTCACTTCCAATTTCTCCATTATTCCTTGAATATCCTGCATTCTGCAAGCTTATTTTTATCCCTGTCTATTCATGTTTATAATATGTTTTCCTTCTAACAGATGTTCCCTGTAATTTTCCTGTGTCACACATGCGCTTCCAACTTCAGGAGTACCAGATTTGATCACTCTCATGTGTCCATAAAGTGTCTGACAGGACAGCTGATAACTTCAGGATCAATGCTGCCAAAGCTATATAACTGCACTTCTTTATGACTGTTTCATTGGAATATTTTTTATAAATTTGTATTATAGGTCAAAGTAGAAAGACTGAATAATGTTCAAATGGAAAAACCAAACGATAGAATGGCACATATTTAGCAGGTGAGTACAGAAGAACTAGGTTAGACGATTCTCCATGAACGACTATTAATTTTTTAACATATAAGGTTAGTAAATAAGTTTTCAAATAAAACAAATATTGAAGATTAAATCATTTAGTAGAAAACTACCTGCAGCAAGTCTCTAAAGCCAAGTTTCGGGAGTCCTGTGGCCACTAAAGCCTGGAAAAATTCAAGGAGTGAGCCCAGTGCCCCGCCCTGAAGTAGTGGTGATTGAATCAACAGAAGTATCTGGGGTAGAATTTCATTAGGAATGGTCGCCATACATGACTTGTGGATCTTAGATATCGACGTCAACAGGTGCAATGTCAGCTGGAGAAAAAATAAAGGTTAACATATAAAATATCTTCAATGCATAAATGACATCAACACAAGTAAACATGTGATTTCATATCCACACAAAAGTTTACATTGCAAAAGACATAGATGTATACCTAACATCAAACAGACAGATAGTAGAAACCATACAGACCATCAAGAATGGAAGGTTGTCAATTTTCTCTTTACCTGTGACACATTGAGATCAATATTTACCTGTGACATATTGATTGAGATCAATATTTACCTGTGACACACTGAGATCAATGTTTACCTCTGACACATTGAGATCAATATTTACCTGTGACACATTGAGATCAATAATTACCTGTGACAAATTGAGATCAATGTTTACCTCTGACACATTGAGATCAATATTTACCTGTGACACATTGAGATCAATATTTACCTGTGACACATTGAGATCAATATTTACCTGTGACACATTGAGATCAATGTTTATCTCTGACACATTGAGATCAATATTTACCTGTGACATATTGAGATCAATATTTACCTGTGACACATGGTGATCAATATTTACATGACACATGGAAATCAATATTTACCTGTGACACATGGAAATCAATGTTTACCTGTGACACATGGAAATCAATATTTACCTGTGACACATGGAAATCAATGTTTACCTGTGACACATGGAAATCAATGTTTACCTGTGACACATGGAAATCAATATTTACCTGTGACACATGGAGATCATTTTCACTGATTAAAGGTGGCATTTCCTTCATCATTTCGTAGATCATTCCTGTTGTTAAGGCAGTGCCTAAAACAATCATATTCTCTTTTTACATTGATTCTTAACATGAATTATCTAAATGTGGAAGAAAAATTGATGCTTTTGTGAATATTTTGTAATATTCAGCCAGAATTCATCTACACTTTAATCCTTGCACCATGAAAGATAGATTAACACCAAGAAAGAGCATTATGTAAAATGGTGGGTACAAAACTTTTATTTTTGGCCATGATTCGCTGTAACATCAGATAAAAACCTACATAACAATATAACAAGACCTACCATAGTTTTTCCCCAATACATCCAAACATGTCAGTGTGCTCAATTTCAAAGCTCTCTGGTTCTTTCTCAAAAAGGAAGCCAAAATTGGTATGCCTTCATCCTAAAAAATCAGACCAATCATTATACTTATTCAAAACACAATAAAGCCTTTATATAGAATGCAGATACCATAATTTGTTTTAGTGTAAATGCATTTAAACTCCATTTAGTGGTTCAGGTCATCAGTAACATCAAAACTGGTCCCTAATTTTTGCAACAACCTTATATTTGTTGTAAGAAAAATAGAAAGGCGAGCCCATAAAGAAATGTGGTGTAAAATACACATCACGTTATGCGTGATGGACAATGCAATAAAACTAATAAGAGGTCTTACCAGTATAGGGCGTAGATCAATATTTAGTGGAGACCTGAAATAAACCACAGATATCACATTACATCACTGTAACCAGCTTACATTTTCACTGTAAAATAATTCCGAGAAATTCTTTTACATATCTAAAACACATCCCTTACCAATTAAGCAACTTCATTCAATACTTTCGAGTATCTTCCACCCTTGGAAAACTTACCCAGCAATCATAGTGAGAGCCTTCACTGCTGTTAATCTGGTGATTTCATTTTTTAATCTTTCCAAGAAAATAGGTAAACACTCTTTCAATTCTGCAGACAGACTATCACCGAGGTTACGGATTATCTGGCCCCTGAAATAGAATACAGGGAATGTTATCTCAACAACTGGATCAATTCATCATAGGTTTCCCTTCACAGCCCGATTTATTCCTCTACAAAAAATAATGATATCAACGAGAGCAATCAGTTATTTTGAGTTGACTTGCAGAACAAAAATGCAGATATATTCTAACCATGAATGACATTTAGATATTCAAATATTGGGCATTGACACTTCATCCAACCAACCATATAAAAAGTACATTTGTGGTATGTTCTTAAAGATATATTGACCAGAACATCTAACAGCTATAATTAATTCTTTTCACAACAGTTTTCCAGATTCACTTTCTAAGACACTAATGCCCCGTTTCAAACCCACCAGCCTTCAAGCCAATTCTCAAAGAGGGATTATTTACAAACTCTATTATGATTGAAGCTTATTGACAGTACATACATGCATGATATAGCTCTCTCCTTCACTTCCTGGTCTATGTCAGCTGCCTTTAACCTTGCCAGAGTACAGGAGTAGAGGTCCTTTACATACGGCTTGTACTCAAATTTCACTGGCACTTCTACAACATCAAGTATGCTGGGTCATTTGGGTGCTTCATTAAATGTACAGTATGCTGAGTCACTTAGGTGCTTTAATACATGTAAATTATGTTGGGTCATTAAGATGCTTGATAATAATATGCTGGGTCAATAATGTGCTTGATAAGAATATGATGGATCACTTTAGTGCTTCACTAGGGTCAATATATAGTCTCAATTGAAGATGAAACAACATTTGCTGATTAATTGGTGAGAGAACTTGAGTATGACCTACCTAAAGGTCGAATAACCTTGACAAGTTGCTGTGTGACCAGTAGTGCTTCAGAGGTAATTTTGTAGAAGGGATCAGCCACAGAATGGACTACCGGCTGTAAAAGAAAACAGTATAACACAGAGCTTTGTTAGTCACAGGGGTTTGTAAGTCAAAGCTCTGTCTTCAGCCAACTTCTCCAATTTTATATCCTTAACAAACAGAATCTTAATTCCCATCAATCAAGATATAGCTATTTATTTTGTGTTATTTATCATTTAGGAAATTTAGGAAAGGTTTTAACCATTTCAAACTTACCGGCACAAGGACTTTGATATGGGCATGGAAGACCACAGGATTGTGGTGTGACAGAATACAGTTCAGGAAAGACAGGGTATCAATCTTCATGTTAGAGCTGGAGTTCTTGTCACTGTAAACAATAATCATTCTCTGCAATTAATAACAGGGGTAACAACAGTTATTGACTTGAAAATATGCTACTAGTCTATTGCTATCGAGAGCCAAGCTATCGCAATACATTGATAAGACAACCTATCATTACACCACTAATTAACAATCAACATAACAAATCAGTGTACATACCTATCAGATGTTCTCATAAAAACTTTATAACAATTCCAATAATTATAAATCATATTATGGATCTACCTTGACCAATAAAATGAAATCATTTTTCAGGGTGCTGTGCATTGACTCTGTGTCTGAACAACTTCATTGACTCTGTGTCTGAACAACTTAGACCCTACATACCCAAGAGAGTACTGGATGCCTGGTACAAGGGCCTGGAGATGGTCTGTCAGAGCGCCAGGAAGTACAAGAACTAATTCCGTTAGCAGACTGAAGCAGCCTTGCCTAGTCTTTACACTCTTCTCTTTTAGCTGTTTGTGTATGGCTTTGACGATGTCTGGAATCTGACCCTGCAGCTGACTCAAAGGACTGTAAGATCAAACACAAAAAAATAAACATTCATGTGATTTAGAATACCTTGTAAGATATACTTTTATCAATGAAAACATTGAATACTAATCCAACTTTCTTTTCTTTTTTAGGAAACAATTTTAAATTAACATTTGCACACAATACAAAAGATATACCCGCCGTCCTGGTCCATCGCGTCTGGATCTGATGTGATGTTTGGTCTCGTCTGTCTTAACAGTGTGATATAGGCATGGAATATGTCGGCCTTCACATTTTCTTCTCTCTCTGCAAAAAACAATACTGTTACATTAAGAACTGAACAATCCACATTCAACAAGTAGGTCATCAGTACAATGGTGTATATCTATTTACCTATCTTACACAGTACAGTAGGGCAGTCCCCTGAAAAGTCATTTTTTGAGGGGCGGGAGCGGGGTTTGACTCCAAATTAGGCCTGGCACCGACAGCACTGAGATGAATATTTATAGATATTTGGTCATTATTTAAGGATTCATTTTCATTACATACATCAAAGTATATCTATATTTAAGTAACTACTTAATTTGATAGGTGCACAGCACATACAGAATATAAATAACAATCCTTATATAGACATCTGATCATAGAATCTTCACAGAACATTTGAAAATAAATTACAGTATACATTAATTTTGGTGACTGACACACCCATGTCTTCTTTTTCATCTATAAAGTCGGCACTTTTTCTACTTCAGACTTATTAGTCAAATAGGTTCCTTAAATCATATTTATTGCACCTCGGACTAGAATGCATTGATCTGATTGGACGTTGCTTGCCCCCTATAAATCTATAGGGGGCAGCTGAATATATAGGGGGCAATGGCCGCCATCCATTATCTCTGAAAGGCGTCACTTCGTAATTTCAAATCACAGATTGGCGATATTCACATTCTGTTCCGTGTCGGAATATTGGCTAGAGTGAATCCTAGAAGTTGCTATTATCTAGTACGAGTTGTTTCCCCTACACGAAGCACCTATTTGACTCGGATCAAAAATGGCTGGGCGGTTCGGGCAGACGACAGCTGCAGACAAGGAAAAAAAACGCCTGGCACTTAACGCTGATAAGACGTTAAAAGCTAATAAGTTGGCCGCTAAAGTGTTCAAAGATTATTTGGTGGAAAAGCAGCAAAACCCAGATTTTGAAGATTACGATGTAGTCCGACTGGACGAATGTCTTGGCCATTTTTACATGGATGCCAGGAAATGTGATGGGACGTATTATATATATATTTAAATGGGTCCTTGGTGCAATAAATTCCTTATGTAATCATATATCTTTGGTAGGGGGAGATGTCTATATCTGTTTAAATGTTATAATCTTTGGTAGAGATATATATATCTGTTTAAATGTTATAATAGTAAATGACGTGGCTTTACCTTTGAATCTTGCTATGAGAGCTGGTGAAACTGTTCTGTAGAATTCAACTAACATCTCGTGTCGTGTACCAATAATAGCATCAAGACATTTGGCTGCAGCTCGTCGCACTTTCCAGCTCATGTCATCATCATCGCTGTACTCCTCTTCATCATCACTGTAAATGTACCGTGAAGCATTAAATTGAGGTCATTAAAGCCTGAAATTTTCTAAATTACCCTTCAGTGTAAATATCATTTAAACTCTTGTTTTACAAATATTTATAAACATTGTAAAACAGATATCCTGTATAAACATTCCTGGTTTTCAAAGTTCATTGAACGATGAGAAAGACTCATTGTATACACTGCGTATCATCCTACATTAACCCAGAGGGTCAACAAATAGCAGAGGATATAACAGAAAGAGAACAGTTTATTACTGGCCAACAGTCGATAAAACTTTTCTGAGCAAACTGTGACAGATATGGGTGGGCTTATTACCAGGCATGGGATTGTTACTAGGCATGGAATTGCTGCTGACATACAGAACTTCATCACATTTAATGAGGTATCCCAAGAAACAATTTAAAGAGATTCAATCCACAAAGAAAACATTTGTTGTTGCACGGTAATATATTACATACTGTAAACATACATTTCTTAGTGACTATTCAATTTCAGCACTTGTCACCATGGAATTATTGCACTTAAATCAGATTGCACTAACTGCAGTTTCCAAATGTTGTTTACATAACAATTATTGTAATGTATAAATTCATCATTACAATAGTCTGCCAAAACAAATATTGTTAAAATTACATAGCGCCAAATCAAATATCTTTACAGTATTTATGTTTTTCTCTTAAATTAGATAAAACCAACATTCAATGCATGTGTGTTCCCTGGATGATGAAGCCATTAATCCAGACCAGAAATGTAAAATCTTTCCAACTTACTCTTCTTCCTCTTCCTCCTCCATTTCCATAGCGTCACCATCTTCATCATCGTCATAGTTATAATTAGGGTCATGGCAAATGTACCGTAGGCAGATCTTTATAACCTACAATTACATAGGTTTATCTTTTACTTACTGAATGAATCAACAATAAGTAATCATCAAAGTTGAAGTTAAGCTTTCATGAAATTTTTTCTTATTGCAAGGTTGGAATGAAATTGCATCTATTATCACCTTATCAATGATCTCCCGATATTTGATTCATCTTGTCTATACCTCATCACCGGGAATATCACTTGTATCAGTGACCTACCTCTGTGACAAATGGCGAGATCTCCTTCGGACATCGCCTCACAAATGACTCAAAGGCCTGAAGACAGTACTCTCGCAGTTCATCATCTTCTTCCTTACAGAACCTGACAATGGGTGGTACCATCTTCTGAAGGTGTTCTCCGAATCTATGTCCTGCCTGTCGACTATAACAAAACATACCATCAATACACAAAGCTATGTCCTGCCTGTCGACTATAACATACCGTCAACACACAAATCTGTGTCCTGCCTGTCGACTATAACAAAACATACCTGTCAACACACAAATCTGTGTCCTGTCTGTCGACTATAACATACTGTCAATACACAAATCTGTGTCCTGTCTGTCGACTATAACATACTGTCAACACACAAATCTGTGTCCTGTCTGTCGACTATAACATACCGTCAACACACAAATCTGTGTCCTGTCTGTCGACTATAACATACCGTCAACACACAAATCTGTGTCCTGTCTGTCGACTATAACATACCGTCATTACACAAATCTGTGTCCTGTCTGTCGACTTTAACATACCGTCAATACACAAATTTGTGTCCTGTCTGTCCACTAAAGCATACCTGTCAACACACAAATCTGTGTCCTGTCTGTCCACTAAAACATACCTGTCAACACACAAATCTGTGTCCTGTCTGTCGACTATAACATACCGTCAATACACAAATCTGTGTCCTGTCTGTCGACTTTAACATACCATCTACACACAAATCTGTGTCCTGCCCATCACCCAGGACAATATTTCTTAAAACAAATCTGCATCATGTCTGTGAGCTAACACAAAACATACCAGCCTTTACACAAACAAAACAAAGGTTGTGGTCAGGACTGTCTATCCTATATTTGACCATAAAAGTGAAGACACTCTTATAAGCACATTTTATCACTTTTCTGGAATAGAGAATAGGAGCGCCAAAAACAGTCTGAAGGTTCCTTTACTTCAATGACCTACCAATACAATATTTACCCTTTCATCTCTCCGTCTCACTTACATCAAGCTAAAAAGTAATATGGCTAAAATGACCCTATTTTCCTTATTTAAATATTGCGTGTTGTTATAATGTTTCCAGTCTAAACAGCTCTTATAAGTGTATCTATTTGGTAAAGTACAGTATATGAATATGATGGTTTGTATACAGTCACTTCTCTCAAAGCTTGATTAGAATTAACCTGTGTTTGGTGAAAATTCAAATTATCAACAAGGACTTCATAGCAAAACTTGCTTCTAATATGCATTGATCTGACTGGCTAACCATCTAAGTTAATATGAATTTAATGTTATATTAAGTATTTCAAATAGAGCGTTTTCTCTATTGTCAAGTGAAAATGTGAACAATGAAATAAGGATATGTCAACAGAATCTTAATTCAAATTCAATAAAACTAGGGCAATATTTGAATAAAAGAAAGATTTATACAGAGACTCCTGAAAAAATAAAAGGAGAACAAGATCGGGTGTTCCAGAAGAGCCATTGTGTTCTGCCTTATCGGCACCAGCTGCCATGTAAATCTTGGTCAATACTCAAATTGCATCTCCAAATGATCACAAGGCATACTAAGGATGCTTTTGCATAATGAAGTTGAAACGATACAGGTGCATTTGTGTATCATGGAATAATTCCTGGTGGATGTTCTAATTTCCCGTCAAACATAAAACAATGAACCAATCATAAAACATCGTCCATTTTAACTTTAACTCGTACTTTTTAGCATAATATTTATGGAAATGTGTATGCACCGAACCTGCTTTATGTCAAAAGTCTGAAACTAATGACATTCAGCGAGCTAGCTTTGAACAGGTACGGGCTGGACCTCTTAAACTGCATGTACCAAATATACCACAGTCCAGCCTCAGTCCTAATCTGTATCTGCTGTTACTCTTACAGGTTCTGCCAATTGAATCATTCCAATCACTATTGTGAAAGTGACCATATTAGCAAAAAACATATCTACTTCATATGGCACAAGGAAAGAGAATATTTCTTAATAGATACAGTGAGAGATGGAATTAAACACACAAAGTCTGTGATATATGCAGTGAGCTGTATCTGATGTATTGTTACACACAACGTTACCTGATGGTACCAATACACTGTATGTAAGTCCTGGTGGTGGACGTGGTGGCATTTTTGTTGAGTTCCGTTAGTAAGAACTCAATCAGCTCCATGAACAGAGGGTTATTACAGCTCATCACCAGGTAGCCTGTTAATAAACATCATAATTAACTGGGTACAATACACATTTCACCAATATTCTGACTTTTTTTCCATTAAGCTGCTAATGGTCTTAGTATATATTCCATCATTATCTGAACGATTTTTTTAAAATATAAAGTATAATTTTATTTCTGGTGAGTCAAGTTTTCAAAACGTTCACCATCATTTTGATTCATTTTTAATTTGACATATACGATAATGCTTTATACTTCAGGTGAGTCATGTTTTCAATATGAAAAACCATTCTGTAAAATACCTGATTTGGTTATGCATTATAAATATGAACTGATCGAACAATTACATGTGCTCAAGGCTACATTAACCCTGAAATCATCTCTTGACTTCTGAACTTCAAACCTAATAGTCATTCAAAGAAGGTCAATGATTAGGATGCATCAGAATGATTTTGATCACCTACCAATAGCAATGATCGCACGTTTCCTCACAGCCAGACGTTGGCTAGACAGCTGGGGTAGTAGTGACTGCATTATACTGGGATGGAAACTGATAAGGAGACCTGTAAGAACAAATTAACAGTAACATGATATTACACATGGAAAGTATTACCACTGTACAATAACATTTATAGAGCAGTATACACAATACTACCAAACAGACAAGTATTTACTCCAAACCAGCTCAGCAAATCTCCCAGTATATCTGAACCTTTTAACTGTACTTATCTCCAAACCAGCTCAGCAAGTTTCCAAGTATATCTAAAGCTTCTAAATGTACTTACCTCCAAATCGGCTCAGCAAATCTCCCAGTATATCTAAAGCTTCTAACTGAACAGACATATCTTCTTGCTGCAATGAGAAAAAGCTAACATTCATTTTTATAAAAAGTAATTGATGCATTTCTGCTATAAACAATCCAAGTTTTGAATGCAAATATTAAAAGTTACATTTCATGTGAGAGTATGGCTTATAAACAGCCAAAAAAAATCTCAAGAAAAAGCCACAAATAGGAAACTGGTCCACCAAAATCCTCATCTGATACAACTATAATTGACTTATCCCTGGTGTGGAATTTACAGTCATCATACTGTCACTAATCATCAAGTCCCTCAGACCTAAATTTGAAATCTCACCTTAGCAATAGCACTGGTCAATCGTCCAGTAATCTTTTTACATATACTGGCAGCCAGGGCAGTGGACGAAGGAGGCAGTTCACTGATAACTGTCTTCAAACCTTGAAACATCAAAAACAATCACATCAATCCTTTCTGATCTGCAGAAACCTAACATAACCCGTCAAATTTGTAGAGTCTTCTGACTCTTAAATCCAACATATAGCTTCATACCTTAAATAAAACTATAAACTTCATTTCAAAAACAGTGAAAAAAAAAAGTTGAATCAGTTTAAACTAAACAAGACTGAATTGCAAAATAGATCTTCATATGGATAGAAATCTAAGTACCTGCTGGAAATTTATATGGTCAAGCACATGACTCAATGTGTTTTTCCTAAATATTCCAAATCCTTCAAGGGTAAGTGAAATGTGTTACCACTGTGACATCAGGCCAAATTCAAACTGACATTGTGCATGGACTTACCTATACTAGAAATTTCATGGAGTTGTTCCTTTGTCGACATGGTAACATGGACTTACCTATATTAGAGATGCCATGGAGTTGTTCCTTTGTTGACATGGTAACATGGACTTAACTATACTAGAGATGTCATAGTTGTTCCTTTGTTGACATGGTAACATGGACTTACCTATATTAGAGATGCCATGGAGTTGTTCCTTTGTTGACATGGTAACATGGACTTACCTATACTAGAGATGTCAGAGTTGTTCCTTTGTTGACATGGTAACATGGACTTACCTATATTAGAGATGCCATGGAGTTGTTCCTTTGTTGACATGGTAACATGGACTTACCTATACTAGAGATGTCAGAGTTGTTCCTTTGTTGACATGGTAACATGGACTTACCTATACTAGAGATGTCACGGAGTTGTTCCTTTGTTGATATCATGTTATTACACAGAGTATCAACGATAGTCTCCACCTGGAACTCCTTCACTTTGTTCACCAGTGGGCCCAGGCTACAGAACAAACATTGGAATTGCTTTAAATACTACAACACAATAAATATTGCTATTTTCTCGCAAGTGTTCGATTAGTTATGTTTTTTTTAGAGTTAAATTCTTTTTCTGTCAATTATTCATATAAGTTATATTTTCTCTAAAGTTTATATTTTTTTCTGTAAAGTTATCATATCATGTTTTACTTAAGGTTTGATTTGAGATATATTTAAGTCCTGGTCTCATGATTTTCCTGTGGGACTGGGAAAATTTTGGAATTGCTATTCTGGACTCTCCTATAAAATTCCTGCAAAAATTACTGTCATGTCCTTGAATTTGCACACAATCAAATTTTTACCACTTTACAGCCAAGTTCTGTACTTCTCCATTTTTATCTTCCAACAGTTTCAACAGCATTCTTACAACCTGCAAATATAAAGTTGAATTAACTTTCCACACCATACTCAAATACAAGAGGTTTTGTCTTTAGAATCTTTGTGACTTATTCTTAGATTAAATCCATGACCCAATTGAGCGCTTATATTGACTTACTTTTCTCTCGCTGTCATCATCTAATTTGATAGAATCTTTCTGCAGCTCTGTCATCAAATCATTTGTGGCCATGAATCGGAAATCTTTGTCATTGGAGGTCATCTGTTGGAAAAAAAAGGACAGAAATATTTACATAGACAATCTTCATATAGGGAAATTAAAAGTTACTTTGTTATATTGATATTATCATGCAATAACCCAAACATATACACAGGACAATGACATAGTATTTGTTATCTCCATTCTATTCGATGTTTTTATCATGTACATTATATTTACTGTATACATTCATAAAGTGTTGCACACTGAATATTCTGATCCATCAAATTGTCTGATGGGATTAATTGTACCTACAAAAGTAAATTACTTCCCTTTTATTTGGGATATGAGAGACATACACTGATACACAAACCTTGAGAATTTAACACAAATATAGAATTATCATAAGTAGAAGTTCTATAATAATCTCAGTCAATTTTTGTTTGATTGCTGGGTAGGTGATCATCATATATGTGCAGTAGCAGTGTTCAATCTATATGCGAGTACAAAGTCCTATACTCATAAAATGTTACATTGCAGATTTCAATGTCAAACCTCACTGAACATCACAGGCTTGGGAGACTAATACCAATAGTTTAGTTTATTATTGCTTTATGTACTATTAACAGCCAGGGTAATTTAAAGGACTTGCCAGGTTTGTGGGGTGGAGGAAAGCTAGAGTTTCAGGAGAAAAACCACTGAATTACGGCCAGTACATAGTGACTGCCCCACATAGGTCTCAAATCTGTCTCCCAGAAATAGAGGGCTAGTGATAAAGACGGTCTGACACTTAACCGCTCGACCACCACAGCCCCCCAATACCAATAACCAACTCTCTACTTCCAGAGTCAATACATGTATCAAAATTGTTACTTTTAGTGGAACTTCTCCAAACTGATCATTCATTGGACATGAATATTTGGCTGATTTAGGGAGGGTTCGGTTGTAAAAGTGAAGCAAGTTGACCAGTCTGACTCGGGTATAATTGAACTGTACATTCTGTACACTACATTAACCATTCTGTTCACTTTCAGCTTTACACTGCACATGTCCAACTGAATACAGAAAAAAGTGATACTTGTATACTGTATGTTGCTTTAGTTAAAATGAAATCTGTGCAATGCACGGTAATTTTGGAACAAACATTACATGTGGCCCAACTTATCCCCGGTCAGATTGTTGGCTTGTGCAAAGTGTTACCAACCAATATGTTTGATGTATATGTGTTTTTGTTGATCAGTATAAAAAATTCATTCTCTTTTTCCAATTTTAATACTTCCATTCTGCCTGTTTTAAAATAAAATTATTCAACAATCCATGATTTAGATGTGAAACTGTGGCTATCAGTACTTATTTTCACTTTACCTGTATCCGTTTCAAGCCAGAGTGAAAAAATGGACATTCCAATATGGTTTTGATTTGTCATAGAAGGTAACTATACAATATGTTTATTACAATCCTCCTAGATATGGTGTACAAAGCCTGCCCATGACAGGTGCACATACTGGAGGCAAAGACTAAAACTGTTACCACAGGGATTGATTCTAGGGTCTGCTGGCCTGGTCTGAACTCAGGTCTTGATCATTCAGGTAAGACCAGTTTTCAAAAGTGATTTTCACTATTTCACTATATTTCAATAATTTCTGACACAAAATCAGTTTGAGATTTGGAACTGAGAGGAATCGGACAAGACAGCACAGGGTAGTTTATTATCTCAACTTCCTAAGAAACACAAACCATCCTGAGAAGGGATCCCCAAAATTTGGATCTATAATAACCCAAGATTGCATTATTCTCTGATATTGCTACTAACTGAGCTAATGGCATTTGTAGTGAATATGTGGACAAAACATCTGAAATATGTGATATTAGTATGCAGATCTTGTTTATTCATGGGGTGTTAATATTTTGATGGTAAGAAAAATCTGGTAATTGCTTTTGCTACCCAGATGTACAACACAGAAGTTGAGAGCAGGGGTTGCTAGGGAGGAAACGGTCACTCCAGTAGGGGCATTTTTTTTTCATTATATTTACTCCTCCCTAGTTTTGGTGTCACTGACTACTGCAAGGATGGAAGTTATGAGATTGAGATGTTTCCTAAGAGATGAATCTGGGTTGTTCATGATCACTTCTTGATGTCTTCATCATTGAAGAATTTGTGAAGGAAGTAGTGTAGAAGTTGAGAGCACATGTCTCCTTAATAACCTCAGCTAGTGGGATTTCCCCTTTAGTCAAGAGACAGTGTCTGCCTAGGGACCCAACGGTCCCTAGTTAAAATCTCATTGTGGCAAGGTGTGACTCCTTACTATAACATAATAACCAGAACATGCAGGTTCAATGCACAGTCACTGACTGGTTGCAAACAAATAAACTTCAGCACAGTGACTGTTGTTGGAAGATTATGAGTAATCAACAAAGCTTGTCTTGCTCTGGTGACTGGTCATTTATTGCAACCGAGTTCCTTGTATTAAAACTATTCACAACAAAATATCTGACACTATGCTTCAGCCACTTATCATGATATCTCCACATCGGAGCAGAATTTATATTCTCTCCACAAGGTCACGAGAAAATGTATTAGAGATTTCCGGTACAGCATCTTTATAAACAACATGTATTATTAGCAACACCCCCCCCCCTTTCCACAAAGTTTGATGGCGGCTGACCGGCACGAAATCACACCATCACACAATGACTCTCACGTACCTTCTCCAGAAGATTTGCGATGTGGTACGAAACACTGGCCATTTTGGATGTATGTTTGAGCTGCAATGTGGCCCTGACAATATATATCTATTTCCCTTTTCCCGAATCAGTCTCTGAATGTTTTCTTCCAAGATCCATGCGCAAAATAACTAGCACATGAACGCCACCTCTGTCATGCAAGGGGGTTAACTCTAATTGGTAAATGGAATTGTTTGGGTGGGGCGGGGCTGGTGACTATCTCAAGAATAGCACCGATAATATTTGTTTCTTTTCACTTGTACTAGTCAGAGAGTCGTTGATTTTTGTCTTATTCAAAGTTACTGCGGACACCGGATTATCTAAATCCGTGTTGTTACTATCAACTCTAGGGGTGAAACTCCGACGCTCATCCGAAAACATGAAAAATGTATATGGTAGCTATTTAAGGTTTTCCATTGTAAAAAGATACATCCTGTTTTTCCCACAGGAACTTACTGGCATGTTCGAATGTTAAGGGAGAATAATAAACACTAACAAAAATTTTGTCAAATTTAATTCATCATCAATAATTTATAATATTCAATATATTGAAGTTCAGCATATAATTCGGCAAGTCAATCTTTCACAACGTCCCAGTGTGCTTAGATCATCTAATTCCTGATTCTCTGATTTATTGAAATTTTACATACTGTTGATTTTTTGAAGATCTGTAGGCCAACATAATTAGTAACAAGTAAATAATGGACGCAGGCAAAACTAATGCCTCTGTATCCATATCTAAAATTATATGATGATCAGGGGATGTTTCCTATAAAAAGTCTAATATTCTCAGTTATTACATATATATAGACAATTAAATGCTAAATAGCAAAAACATTTAACTATTTTCAAGTTGAAATGACATTAACAGTTTCCTCTTTATATATTGTGTCTGGGAAGGCGCACAATTTTTCTACTCCAAGGCAGCCCACGGACACGGTATACAGAATGCTCCGTTTCATTGTTTTCTTTCTGCTTCGCTTCCTCGTATAATGCCTTCTCTGCTTCTCTTTCACAATGTGTTATGTCGTTTCTTATTCCTATTGAGGAAAGTTGGCTATGATTTCTTATTTTTCTGATATTTTTAAAGATTCCGTTCTTTGGTTGTTGCGACTCAAAACAAACTAGAATAGACCGGCTGTTATTGGTTATGTCACTGGACTCTGGTCTCTTTCCCAATCGTATGATTTTTCTAGGCCTATCTTTGTTTGACACTCCACAGACTTCTAATAAATTTCCTACAACTTTAGCATCTTCTTCCATACGTTTCTTTCCGTCGTGATGGGATTGTTCCGGAACTCCAAATAGAATTATGTTGTTTTCCTCTCTGCTCGCTCTTTAATTTCAGCAACTATTTCGTCTTTGCTTGGTGCAGATTTCTCAGATTTCAAGTTCATTTCCAGTTTAGCGATTAACCCTTTTACCTCTCTTTCAAGTTCAGCAATCTATCTTCAAATTCTTGCGTGATTTGCCTACACCTCTCTTCTATTTTTCTGTCCGTAAGAATATTCTTTTCGCCTGTCATTCTGCATGGTGGACAAAACCACATTGTATCTGATTTTGATAGGATGTCATATTTCTTTGAATCAAAATCCAGATATCTGATGCAGAAAAGGTCCTGGCATCCATCACACTTCATGTACTTCTTTGCTTCCTTCGAGCATATCTTGCAGTTATACTATTCCTCCATCAATGCGTCGTTGAAGGACTCTTCCAAGTTGGATCCCAGTTGAGAAGCCGATTTCTTGCTACTTCTTGCACTTTCGGTTTTGCCTTTAGTCATTTTATCATATTAATACACACACGTTTACAAGGTGGAATTATGATATAATAGGGAACACTTTAAAATAAGTTTAGAGAGAGAGGTCGGAGAGCGGGAGAGAGGGGGGAGAGAGAGGGGGAGAGAAAGGGGAGAGGGAGAAAGAGGGGGAGAGAGAGGGGGAGGGAGGGAGGGAGAGAAAGAGGAGAGAGAGAGAGAGAGAGAGAGAGAGGTGTATAACACGAACTTTGTGTGTCTAGAATACTTTGTATATATGTAGATCATGCATCTGCTCCTTCTTCATGTAAGCGAAACAGGTGACAACATAAGTGTTGTCTGACATGACAAACACAACGATGATTTTTTTTATCTATGCGACAAAATGATTGCCCAACACAGAGGACTAATGTGGTGAATTTCAAACATTGTTTACTTCTTTTTTTTTTCTTATCCAAACACATCGATTACGACTCCGGGATGTTTGGGGAACATGTGTAACGGTCTTCATAACAGTTAGTACTTGTTACTTATATGACTGGCTATTTGGTTTAAAAAAAAGTACAAATATTGCTGTTTTTGCCAGACTGACCTTACACGTATTTCATACAATTAAAGCGCGCCATATTATGCCGATACATGATTAACAAATACAAAAAATCGATTTAACAAAAGCAGTATAGAAATATCTTCAAAACCGAATATTGACCGATGTAAATATTTATCTTATTAAGCGAAATCTAAAAAAAAATAAAATAAAAGCAAAGACCTATTCTGTCGCACTAAATGGTCCAAACTGGCCACTACAACAAACTTCATTTTAGGTGTAAAAGATAATTTCAAGTTACCTTCGACTGGAATAATAAATAATTTATTTATAACCAAATGCTATATATTTTTATATATATCAGTATCCAGGATTGTCCAGGCTGCATCCGACAGCAACACTATCATAAACAGAAACACACCGAAAGGAACACCACACATAAACTGATGACGTCAGTCTAATCAACACATTCCCATTCCATCATTCGACTATTCTCCACATCCTTCTCAAAAACCGAATCTGAAACATAAACAACATTTTTTAAAACATTACTTTCCCTGTTGTTTATCAGCTTATTTTCAACGGTCTGTCGACAACTGTTTAAGTAATTTTTTTTTTCAATTTTAGTTTAAATGAAAACCTGCGAAACATCTTATTTACTCATCAAACTCAAGTAAAACAAACATTGACAGAAATGTAATACTTCATAAACATAAGGAGAATAATTACCCTTTGATAAATATCTACTAACTGTTAGAGGTATTTAAAAACTACTGAAGCAATACAGCACCTACCTAACGAGGAACTGGGTACCAGTAGTTGATCTGGCGCTGAATACAAAGTGGAAACAGCACCATGTGCTTCTCTTCAAACTGATGACAGAATTTCCTCTGCCAGTAGAAATCATCCCGGGGAATTTCCTTTGTAACCACAACGGATAACTCGAGTCCATAGTTGAACAGTTCCATTGCTTTTGCCCGCTGGGTGAAGTTGGCTTTGTCAATCTTCCGAGATCCTGATGGCTTCCACAGGGATCTTCTTTTGACTTGACATGGAACAGTTCCGCAGTGAGGACAGCGTGAAGGACCTGTATAAGTACATGTACGAGTATGTTACGATATCGGGGTTGAACACTGTCAGTAGATACTGTGTACTTTAATACTAAAGTTTACGATGAAACAAACAGAGTGACGTAACTCATCAGACAGTAATACTTACGAGTCCTCCATTCATGGATCATCGACATCATGGTTGAGCATCCCTTTCTGGTAAACCTCCCAATGGCTGGAATGTTCCTTAATAGTAGGCTTACAAGGGTACAGAGGAGAGTACACAAGATCTCATTTCCAATTTGCTGAAATGGAAGAAAATGCATTGCATTTTAACAGAGAAAAAAGCTTCAAATGAAGAAAACAACTGACGTAAGAAAATTTGATATGATTAAGCTGACTGGATACTTCAAAAATAAATAATATTACCAGTGCGATATCGGCAGATGTTGGACAAATTTTCTCGAATTCCGATGCGGCGAAATAGTGGTAAAATCTTTGGACATATCCCGGCGCGGGCTCAACACTGTAGAAGGAAAGTGAAATTAAGGGATGAAATGTGTCTTTCAATAAACGTAAACATATTTTTGCAAGCTGTCAATAGTGTAAGCTTTTACTTAGCATATCAAAAATCCTTCTAAACAGCCATGGTAAACTTCACCAAGACAACTTACCATACAAGGCCCCGGTATACAGCGGGACCCTGTTGTATTGCGCTCAGCATCACCACAAATAGCAGGAATGACCTGATATTCATTGTGGTCAGCCAAGATCTTACAATAAAAAGTAAAATTCAGGGGAGAGACTCATCATCTCCGCCTTCGCCGATTGCTAAGCAGCTTAGCAACTAGAATGTGACGTCACAATTGCCCCATTATTTCCCATCATGACGTCATGCATTTGTCTATTGAACAAATGTAGACGAAACGAATTAAACTTCCCCCGATCGCACTACGAATTTTACACATCACCGTTGAACCTTTAAGTATCATTTTATTCAACAATATATGTGGTTCCTGTTGGTATTGACGTAATATTTTTACTTTTATTGAAGACTGAATACAATAATCAGACACAATCTTTGGCCCAACGCCACTTTCTGATTTCTGGTTTGAGTGCATGTTTATTACGCCTTTTTCACAATCAGTCTCAACGTTTATACTACCTGTCGTTATAACGTGATTCACAATCAGTCTCAACGTTTATACTACCTGTCGTTATAACCTGATTCACAATCAGTCTCAACGTTTATACTACCTGTCGTTATAACGTGATTCACAATCAATCTCAACGTTTATACTACCTGTCGTTATAACGTGATTCACAATCAATCTCAACGTTTATACAACCTGTCGTTATAACCTGATTCACAATCAGTCTCAACGTTTATACAACCTGTCGTTATAACGCGATTCACAATCAATCTCAACGGTTTATACTACCTGTCGTTATAACCTGATTCACAATCAGTCTCAACGTTTATACAACCTGTCGTTATAACGCGATTCACAATCAGTCTCAACGGTTTATACTACCTGTCGGTATAACCTGATTCACAATCAGTCTCAACGTTTATACTACCTGTCGTTATAACGCGATTCACAATCAATCTCAACGGTTTATACTACCTGTCGTTATAACCTGATTCACAATCAGTCTCAATGGTTTATACAACCTGTCGGTGTAACGTGATTCACAATCAGTCTCAACGGTTCATACTACCTGTCGTTATAACGTGATTCACAATCAGTCTCAACGGTTCATACTACCTGTCGTTATAACGTGAT